ATAAAAAAAAATTTGGACAAACTCCCCAAATACAGGTGTGCCAGGCTGGTAGCTTCATACCCAAGAAGACTTGAGGCTGTAATCGCTGCCAAAGGTGCTTTCAACAAAGTACTGAGTAAAGGGTCTGAATACTTATGTAAATGTTATATTTCAGTTCTTTTTTTTTTATACGTTTGCTAAAAGTTTTTGCTTTGTCGTTATCGGGTAGATTGAAAAAATCCATTTTAGAATAAGGCTGTAACGTAACAAAATGTGGAAAAAGTCAAGGGGTCTGAATACTTTCCGAAGGCACTGTACATAGCGAACACAACAAATACAACTATATCACTTTATTAATGACCTACATATTAAGTTGTAATGAACTGCCTGTACACTACTTCTGAACTCTTTATAAATGTTAGCATTGTCTCTCTCGCTCTCACTCTCTCTCTCTCGCTCTCTCTCTCTCTCTCTCTTTCTCTCTCTCTCTCTCGCTCATCTCTCCCTCTGTCTAACCTCTCTCTCTCTCTCTCTCTTTCTCTCTCTCTCTCTCTCTCGCTCTCTCTCTCTCTCTCTGTCTCTCTCTCTCTCTCTCTCATCTCTCCCTCTGTCTAACCTCTCTCTCTCTCTCTCTCTCTCTCGCTCTCTCTCTCTCTGTCTAACCTGTCTCTCTCTCTCCCTCCAGTGGTGCCTCTGATCCTGAAGGCCCTGGTCTATGATGAAAAGAGAGGAGCGTGTAGCGTTGGTTCTAACGTACGGGACGCAGCCTGCTACGTCTGCTGGGCGTTTGCCAGGGCCTACGAGCCCACCGAGCTAAAGCCCTTCGTCACGCAGATCGCCTGGTAACACTTCTCTACTTCTTCATCGTCCTCCTCTGTCTCTCTGACCCCGATTCGGGGTCAATTTCCTTTTTTCATTCGCTCAATTCAGATAGTGAATTGAAATTCAGTTCATGAATTGATGTCAATTGAAGATTTGTGTGAAAACTTGCACATCTCAAGGTAGGATTCTGGCCTAGTAGAGAAGGTTAAACATGGGCTTTTAGATGACAGAATGTTTCAAATATAATAAACATGTGTACTGTGGTCGTTATCATAGTTCCCAGTAACAACAGTGTCGTATGTAATGTGGTCGTTATCATAGTTCCCAGTAACAACAGTATCTTATGTACTGTGGTCGTTATCATAGTTCCCAGTAACAACAGTATCTTATGTACTGTGGTCGTTATCATAGTTCCCAGTAACAACAGTATCTTATGCACTGTGGTCGTTATCATAGTTCCCAGTAACAACATTATCTTATGCACTGTGGTCGTTATCATAGTTCCCAGTAACAACAGTATCTTATGTACTGTGGTCGTTATCATAGTTCCCAGTAACAACAGTATATTATGAACTGTGGTCGTTATAGTTCCCAGTAACAACAGTATCTTATGTACTGTGGTCGTTATCATAGTTCCCAGTAACAACAGTATCTTATGTACTGTGGTCGTTATCATAGTTCCCAGTAACAACAGTATCTTATGTACTGTGGTCGTTATCATAGTTCCCAGTAACAACAGTATCTTATGTACTGTGGTCGTTATCATAGTTCCCAGTAACAACAGTATCTTACGTACTGTGGTCGTTATCATAGTTCCCAGTAACAACAGTATCGTATGTACTGTGGTCGTTATCATAGTTCCCAGTAACAACATTATCTTATGTACTGTGGTCGTTATCATAGTTCCCAGTAACAACAGTATCTTATGTACTGTGGTCATTATCATAGTTCCCAGTAACAACAGTATCTTATGTACTGTGGTCGTTATCATAGTTCCCAGTAACAACAGTATCTTATGTACTGTGGTCGTTATCATAGTTCCCAGTAACAACAGTATCTTACGTACTGTGGTCGTTATCATAGTTCCCAGTAACAACAGTATCTTATGTACTGTGGTCGTAATCATAGTTCCCAGTAACAGCAGTATCTTATGTACTGTGGTCATTACCACAAGCCTCTGTCTCTGCCTGCTCCTCATCCACACCTCAGCATGATGAAACCATCTCTCTCTGGCTGCTAAGCCATACTACGTGTCTAACTCGTTTGGTTTGGAGCGGTGTCCGGGCGTATTGTATTTCACTGGCAGGCAGACAGGCAGGCAGATGCTCCTTTGTCCCTGAAAGGTTTAAAGTTGACTGAAGGTCTTGTGTTAATGTTACTGTGGATGAGTGGGTGTTCCTTGCCATGCTGAGGAGAGAGTGATGAGAGAAGAGGAGAGGAGGAAGTGATGAGTGGAGGGCCTTGGTTGTCAGTCAGGTATCTATGTGTGTGAAGGTTCAGGTGTCAGTCAGGTATCTCTGTGTGGGTTCAGGTCTCAGGTGTCAGTCAGGTATCTCTGTGTGTGTGCAGGTTCAGGTATCAGGTGTCTGTCAGGTATCTCTGTGTGTGAAGGTTCAGGTCTCAGGTGTCAGTCAGGTATCTCTGTGTGTGTGCAGGTCTCAGGTGTCTGTCAGGTATCTCTGTGTGTGAAGGTTCAGGTCTCAGGTGTCAGTCAGGTATCTCTGTCTGTGAAGGTTCAGGTCTCAGGTGTCAATCAGGTATCTCTGTGTGTGTGCAGGTCTCAGGTGTCTGTCAGGTATCTCTGTGTGTGAAGGTTCAGGTCTCAGGTGTCAGTCAGGTATCTCTGTGTGTGTGCAGGTTCAGGTGTCAGTCAGGTATCTCTGTGTGTGTGCAGGTTCAGGTCTCAGGTGTCAGTCAGGTATCTCTGTGTGTGAAGGTTCAGGTGTCAGTCAGGTATCTCTGTGTGGGTTCAGGTCTCAGGTGTCAGTCAGGTATCTCTGTGTGGGTTCAGGTCTCAGGTGTCAGTCAGGTATCTCTGTGTGGGTTCAGGTCTCAGGTGTCAGTCAGGTATCTCTGTGTGTGTGCAGGTTCAGGTATCAGGTGTCTGTCAGGTATCTCTGTGTGTGCAGGTTCAGGTCTCAGGTGTCAGTCAGGTATCTCTGTGTGTGAAGGTTCAGGTATCAGGTGTCAGTCAGGTATCTCTGTGTGAAGGTTCAGGTCTCAGGTGTCAGTCAGGTATCTCTGTGTGTGTGCAGGTCTCAGGTGTCAGTCAGGTATCTCTGTGTGTGTGCAGGTCTCAGGTGTCAGTCAGGTATCTCTGTGTGTGAAGGTTCAGGTCTCAGGTGTCAGTCAGGTATCTCTGTGTGTGTGCAGGTCTCAGGTGTCAGTCAGGTATCTCTGTGTGTGAAGGTTCAGGTCTCAGGTGTCAGTCAGGTATCTCTGTGTGTGTGCAGGTCTCAGGTGTCAGTCAGGTATCTCTGTGTGTGTGCAGGTCTCAGGTGTCAGTCAGGTATCTCTGTGTGTGTGAAGGTTCAGGTCTCAGGTGTAGCTCTTAGCATGACTCCACACCTGTCCTACCTGTGTCTGCAGAGAAGTTCACATTAATTTAGATGCCCTGCTCCTCCCTCCCTCCCTCCCTCCCTCCCTCCCTCCCTCCCTCCCTCCCTCCCTCCCTCCCTCCCTCCCTCCCTCCCTCCCTCTTTCCCTCCCTCCCTCTTTCCCTCCCTCCCTCCCTCCCTCCGTGGACGTGTGTGGGCCTGTGGGCCCCTGTGACTGTGCAGACCAGCTCTGCAGTGTCAGTTTGAACGCCCCCCCCTACACACACCAGCCTCCTGTTCATTCCCAACCCTGCAGCCAGCCCTGCCAGGTTTCGCCTGGCGCGGTTGGTTTCGGTGGCTGTTTGGTAGCAGGGCTCAGGCATGCTCGGTCCTGCTCCTGATTTCATCAAGGCCTCATTACATTTTTATTCCTTTAGTGTGCCGTTTGCATGCAACACAACTGTTTGTTGTCACGCACGCACACAGACGGTGTGATTTGTCACTATTAGACACTGTCACTCAGGATAAGATGCAGGATGTCCTCGGGGAACTCTCCTCCTCAGATAACTATCTCTTTCTTTCTTTCCCCCCCCCAGTCCGTGGACTGTTGCTCACTGAAACCAGAGTGGTTAGTCAGGCTAGGGTTAGTGTCCAGGGACAGAGAGAACAGAGTTAGTCAGGTTAGTGTAGTGTCCAGGGACAGAGAGAACAGAGTTAGTCAGGTTAGGGTTAGTGTCCAGGGACAGAGAGAACAGAGTTAGTCAGGTTAGGGTTAGTGTCCAGGGACAGAGAGAACAGAGGTAGTCAGGTTAGTGTCCAGGGACAGAGAGAACAGAGTTAGTCAGGTTAGGGTTAGTGTCCAGGGACAGAGAGAACAGAGTTAGTCAGGTTAGGGTTAGTGTCCAGGGACAGAGAGAACAGAGGTAGTCATGTTAGTGTCCAGGGACAGAGAGAACAGAGTTAGTCAGGTTAGGGTTAGTGTCCAGGGACAGAGAGAACAGAGTTAGTCAGGTTAGGGTTAGTGTCCAGGGACAGAGAGAACAGAGTTAGTCAGGTTAGGGTTAGTGTCCAGGGACAGAGAGAACAGAGTTAGTCAGGTTAGGGTTAGTGTCCAGGGACAGAGAGAACAGAGTTAGTCAGGTTAGTGTCCAGGGACAGAGAGAACAGAGTTAGTCAGGTTAGGGTTAGTGTCCAGGGACAGAGAGAACAGAGTTAGTCAGGTTAGGGTTAGTGTCCAGGGACAGAGAGAACAGAGTTAGTCAGGTTAGTGTCCAGGGACAGAGAGAACAGAGTTAGTCAGGTTAGTGTCCAGGGACAGAGAGAACAGAGTTAGTCAGGTTAGGGTTAGTGTCCAGGGACAGAGAGAACATAATTAGTCAGGTTAGGGTTAGTGTCCAGGGACAGAGAGAACAGAGTTAGTCAGGTTAGGGTTAGTGTCCAGGGACAGAGAGAACAGAGTTAGTCAGGTTAGGGTTAGTTTCCAGGGACAGAGAGAACAGAGTTAGTCAGGTTAGTGTCCAGGGACAGAGAGAACAGAGTTAGTCAGGTTAGGGTTAGTGTCCAGGGACAGAGAGAACAGAGTTAGTCAGGTTAGGGTTAGTGTCCAGGGACAGAGAGAACAGAGTTAGTCAGGTTAGGGTTAGTGTCCAGGGACAGAGAGAGTTAGTCAGTTAGTTCCAGAAGTTAGTCAGGTTAGTGTCCAGGGACAGAGAGAACAGAGTTAGTCAGGTTAGGGTTAGTGTCCAGGGACAGAGAGAACAGAGTTAGTCAGGTTAGGGTTAGTGTCCAGGGACAGAGAGAACAGAGTTAGTCAGGTTAGTGTCCAGGGACAGAGAGAACAGAGTTAGTCAGGTTAGGGTTAGTGTCCAGGGACAGAGAGAACAGAGTTAGTCAGGTTAGGGTTAGTGTCCAGGGACAGAGAGAACAGAGTTAGTCAGGTTAGTGTCCAGGGACAGAGAGAACAGAGTTAGTCAGGTTAGTGTCCAGGGACAGAGAGAACAGAGTTAGTCAGGTTAGGGTTAGTGTCCAGGGACAGAGAGAACAGAGTTAGTCAGGTTAGTGTCCAGGGACAGAGAGAACAGAATTAGTCAGGTTATGGTTAGTGTCCAGGGACAGAGAGAACAGAGTTAGTCAGGTTAGGGTTAGTGTCCAGGGACAGAGAGAACAGAGTTAGTCAGGTTAGTGTCCAGGGACAGAGAGAACAGAATTAGTCAGGTTAGGGTTAGTGTCCAGGGACAGAGAGAACAGAGTTAGTCAGGTTAGTGTCCAGGGACAGAGAGAACAGAGTTAGTCAGGTTAGGGTTAGTGTCCAGGGACAGAGAGAACAGAGTTAGTCAGGTTAGGGTTAGTGTCCAGGGACAGAGAGAACAGAGTTAGTCAGGTTAGGGTTAGTGTCCAGGGACAGAGAGAACAGAGTTAGTCAGGTTAGTGTCCAGGGACAGAGAGAACAGAGTTAGTCAGGTTAGTGTCCAGGGACAGAGAGAACAGAGTTAGTCAGGTTAGGGTTAGTGTCCAGGGACAGAGAGAACAGAGTTAGTCAGGTTAGTGTCCAGGGACAGAGAGAACAGAGTTAGTCAGGTTAGGGTTAGTGTCCAGGGACAGAGAGAACAGAGTTAGTCAGGTTAGGGTTAGTGTCCAGGGACAGAGAGAACAGAATTAGTCAGGTTAGTGTCCAGGGACAGAGAGAACAGAGTTAGTCATGTTAGGGTTAGTGTCCAGGGACAGAGAGAACAGAGTTAGTCAGGTTAGGGTTAGTGTCCAGGGACAGAGAGAACAGAGTTAGTCAGGTTAGTGTCCAGGGACAGAGAGAACAGAGTTAGTCAGGTTAGTGTCCAGGGACAGAGAGAACAGAGTTAGTCAGGTTAGGGTTAGTGTCCAGGGACAGAGAGAACAGAGTTAGTCAGGTTAGTGTCCAGGGACAGAGAGAACAGAGTTAGTCAGGTTAGGGTTAGTGTCCAGGGACAGAGAGAACAGAGTTAGTCAGGTTAGGGTTAGTGTCCAGGGACAGAGAGAACAGAGTTAGTCAGGTTAGGGTTAGTGTCCAGGGACAGAGAGAACAGAGGTAGTCAGGTTAGGGTTAGTGTCCAGGGACAGAGAGAACAGAGTTAGTCAGGTTAGGGTTAGTGTCCAGGGACAGAGAGAACAGAGTTAGTCAGGTTAGTGTCCAGGGACAGAGAGAACAGAGTTAGTCAGGTTAGGGTTAGTGTCCAGGGACAGAGAGAACAGAGTTAGTCAGGTTAGGGTTAGTGTCCAGGGACAGAGAGAACAGAGTTAGTCAGGTTAGGGTTAGTGTCCAGGGACAGAGAGAACAGAGTTAGTCAGGTTAGTGTCCAGGGACAGAGAGAACAGAGTTAGTCAGGTTAGGGTTAGTGTCCAGGGACAGAGAGAACAGAGTTAGTCAGGTTAGTGTCCAGGGACAGAGAGAACAGAGTTAGTCAGGTTAGGGTTAGTGTCCAGGGACAGAGAGAACAGAGTTAGTCAGGTTAGGGTTAGTGTCCAGGGACAGAGAGAACAGAGTTAGTCAGGTTAGTGTCCAGGGACAGAGAGAACAGAGTTAGTCAGGTTAGTGTCCAGGGACAGAGAGAACAGAGGTAGTCAGGTTAGTGTTAGTGTCCAGGGACAGAGAGAACAGAGTTAGTCAGGTTAGTGTCCAGGGACAGAGAGAACAGAGTTAGTCAGGTTAGGGTTAGTGTCCAGGGACAGAGAGAACAGAGTTAGTCAGGTTAGTGTCCAGGGACAGAGAGAACAGAGTTAGTCAGGTTAGGGTTAGTGTCCAGGGACAGAGAGAACAGAGTTAGTCAGGTTAGGGTTAGTGTCCAGGGACAGAGAGAACAGAGTTAGTCAGGTTAGGGTTAGTGTCCAGGGACAGAGAGAACAGAGTTAGTCAGGTTAGTGTCCAGGGACAGAGAGAACAGAGTTAGTCAGGTTAGTGTCCAGGGACAGAGAGAACAGAGTTTGTCAGGTTAGGGTTAGTGTCCAGGGACAGAGAGAACAGAGTTAGTCATGTTAGTGTCCCAGGGACAGAGAGAACAGAGTTAGTCAGGTTAGGGTTAGTGTCCAGGGACAGAGAGAACAGAGTTAGTCAGGTTAGTGTCCAGGGACAGAGAGAACAGAGTTAGTCAGGTTAGTGTCCAGGGACAGAGAGAACAGAGTTAGTCAGGTTAGTGTCCAGGGACAGAGAGAACAGAGTTAGTCAGGTTAGGGTTAGTGTCCAGGGACAGAGAGAACAGAGTTAGTCAGGTTAGTGTCCAGGGACAGAGAGAACAGAGTTAGTCAGGTTAGGGTTAGTGTCCAGGGACAGAGAGAACAGAGTTAGTCAGGTTAGGGTTAGTGTCCAGGGACAGAGAGAACAGAGTTAGTCAGGTTAGTGTCCAGGGACAGAGAGAACAGAGTTAGTCAGGTTAGTGTCCAGGGACAGAGAGAACAGAGGTAGTCAGGTTAGTGTTAGTGTCCAGGGACAGAGAGAACAGAGTTAGTCAGGTTAGTGTCCAGGGACAGAGAGAACAGAGTTAGTCAGGTTAGGGTTAGTGTCCAGGGACAGAGAGAACAGAGTTAGTCAGGTTAGTGTCCAGGGACAGAGAGAACAGAGTTAGTCAGGTTAGGGTTAGTGTCCAGGGACAGAGAGAACAGAGTTAGTCAGGTTAGGGTTAGTGTCCAGGGACAGAGAGAACAGAGTTAGTCAGGTTAGGGTTAGTGTCCAGGGACAGAGAGAACAGAGTTAGTCAGGTTAGTGTCCAGGGACAGAGAGAACAGAGTTAGTCAGGTTAGTGTCCAGGGACAGAGAGAACAGAGTTAGTCAGGTTAGGGTTAGTGTCCAGGGACAGAGAGAACAGAGGTAGTCAGGTTAGGGTTAGTGTCCAGGGACAGAGAGAACAGAATTAGTCAGGTTAGTGTCCAGGGACAGAGAGAACAGTGGGAGAGCAAACAGAGCCTGGGGCAGTTTCTCCCTCCCTGCCTGGCTGGCTGCCTGGTTGGCTGCCTGGTTGGCTGCCTGGCTGCCTGGCTGGCTGGCTGTCAGAGGGACTGCTTATCCTCAGCAGCCTAGTTCACACACCTACACCTTCCTATAACACTTAGAGGGAGGACAGAAAGAGATTGTGAAGGAGGAAAGAAATAGTAGAATGATTTGTAAGGAGAGAGAGAAGAGATGAGATGTCAACGGTTTGATCAAAGACCACTATCAGTGACTACAGGAGCGTCCCAGAGTCAGTGACTACAGGAGGGGCACCCAGAGTCAGTGACTACAGGAGGGGAAACCAGAGTCAGTGACTACAGGAGGGTCACCCAGGGTCAGTGACTACAGGAGGGTCACCCAGAGTCAGTGACTACAGGAGGGGCACCCAGAGTCAGTGACTACAGGAGGGGAACCCAGAGTCAGTGACTACAGGAGGGGAACCCAGAGTCAGTGACTACAGGAGGGGAACCCAGAGTCAGTGACTACAGGAGGGTCACCCAGGGTCAGTGACTACAGGAGGGGAACCCAGAGTCAGTGACTACAGGAGGGTCACCCAGGGTCAGTGACTACAGGAGGGTCACCCAGAGTCAGTGACTACAGGAGGGGCACCCAGAGTCAGTGACTACAGGAGGGTCACCCAGAGTCAGTGACTACAGGAGGGTCACCCAGAGTCAGTGACTACAGGAGGGTCACCCAGGGTCAGTGACTACAGGAGGGGAACCCAGGGTCAGTGACTACAGGAGGGTCCCCCAGAGTCAGTGACTACAGGAGGGTCCCCCAGAGTCAGTGACTACAGGAGGGTCCCCCAGGGTCAGTGACTACAGGAGGGTCCCCCAGGGTCAGTGACTACAGGAGGGTCCCCCAGAGTCAGTGACTACAGGAGGGTCCCCCAGGGTCAGTGACTACAGGAGGGTCCCCCAGGGTCAGTGACTACAGGAGGGTCCCCCAGGGTCAGTGACTACAGGAGGGTCCCCCAGGGTCAGTGACTACAGGAGGGTCCCCCAGAGTCAGTGACTACAGGAGGGTCCCCCAGGGTCAGTGACTACAGGAGGGTCCCCCAGGGTCAGTGACTACAGGAGGGTCCCCCAGAGTCAGTGACTACAGGAGGGTCCCCCAGAGTCAGTGACTACAGGAGGGTCCCCCAGAGTCAGTGACTACAGTTCCTGACATTTAATCCTAGTAAAAATTCCCTGTCTTAGGTCAGTTAGGATCACCACTTTATTTTAAGAATGTGAAATGACAGAATAATAGTAGAGAGAATGATTTATTTCAGCTTTTATTTCTTTCATCACATTCCCAGTGGGTCAGAAGTTTACATACACTCAATTAGTATTTGGTAGCATTGCCTTTAAATTGTTTAACTTGGATCAAACGTTTTGGGTAGCCTTCCACAAGCTTCCCACAATAAGTTGGGTGAATTTTGGCCCATTCCTCCTGACAGAGCTGGTGTAACTGAGTCAGGTTTGTAGGCCTCCTTGCTCGCACATGCTTTTTCAGTTCTGCCCACAAATTTTCTATAGGATTGAGGTCAGGGCTTTGTGATGGCCACTCCAATACCTTGACTTTGTTGTCCTTAAGCCATTTTGCCACAACTTTGGAAGTATGCTTGGGGTCATTGTCCATTTGGGAGACCCATTTGCGACCAAGCTTTAACTTCCTGACTGATGTCTTGAGATGTTGCTTCAATATATCCACATAATTTTCCTTCCTCATGATGCCATCTATTTTGTGAAGTGCACCAGTCCCTCCTGCAGCATGATGCTTCCACCCCCGTGCTTCACGGTTGGGATGGTGTACTTCTGCTTGAAAGGCCCCCTTTTTCCTCCAAACATATCGATGGTCATTATGGCCAAACAGTTTTATTTTTGTTTCATCAGACCAGAGGACATTTCTCCAAAAAGTACGATCTTCGTCCCCATGTGGTGTTGCAAACCGTAGTCTGGCTTTTTTATGGCGGTTTTGGAGCAGTGGCTTCTTCCTTGCTGAGCGGCCTTTCAGGTGTTGTCGATGTAGGACTCATTTACTGTGGATATAGATACTTTTGTACCTGTTTCCTCCAGCATCTTCACAAGGTCCTTTGCTGTTGTTCTGGGATTTATTTGCATTTTTGTACCAAAGTACGTTCATCTCTAGGAGACAGAACGCGTCTCCTTCCTGAGCGGTATGACAGCTGCGTGGTCCCATGGTGTTTATACTTGCATACTAATGTTTGTACAGATGAACGAGGTCCCTTCAGGCATTTGGAAATTGCTCCCAAGGATGAACCAGACTTGTGGAGGTCTACAATTTTTTTTCTGAGGTCTTGGCTGATTTCTTATGATTTTCCCATGATGTCAAGCAAAGAGGCACTGAGTTTGAGGGTAGGCCTTGAAATACATCCACAGGTACACCTCCAATTGACTCAAATTATGTCAATTAGCCTATCAGAAGCTTCTAAAGCCATGAAATCATTTTCTGGAATTTTCCAAGCTGTTTAAAGGCACAGTCAACTTAGTGTATGTAAACTTCTGACCCCCTGGAATTGTGATACAGTGAATTATACGTGAAATAATCTGTCTGTAAACAATTGTTGGAAAAATTACTTGTCATGCACAAAGTAGATGTCCTAACCGACTTGCCAAAACTATAGTTTGTTAACAAGAAATTGTGGAGTGGTTGAAAAATGAGTTTGAATGACTCCAACCGAAGTGTATGTAAACTTCCGACTTCAACTGTACATTCCCTGCCTGTGTATCAGTGGATGTTTACCTGTCCATCAGTTTGTGTCCCTCCCTGTCTGTCTTCTCAGTGCTCTGGTGATCACTGCTGTTTTTGACCGAAACATCAACTGTCGTAGAGCTGTGTCAGTGAGTGACCTCTCTCTCTCTCTCTCTCTCTCTCGCTCTCTCTCTCGCTCTCTCTCTCTCTCTGTCTCTCTCTCTCCCTCTCTCTCCCTCTCTCTCTCTCTCTCTCTCTCTCTCTCTGTCTCTCTCTCTCTCTCTGTCTGTCTCCCTCTTTTTCTCTCTCTCTCTCTTTTTAGTACATGTTTCAAACCATGCATCAAGGTTGAGATAAATTCAGTTTTCAATTCAATAAATCCAGGGAATTCATTGAAATTCAATTAATACATTTAAAAACCATCATTTAAAATAATGGGCAATTTTTTTGTATTTATTAATTAATTGAATTTTAATTAACTTCCTGGATTGCCTGAATTGACCCTAACCCTGTCATTTCTGTCAGATCTCACTACTGACTATAATCTAACTTCTAACTGTCTGTTGTTCTCCCTTCTCTCCCAGGCTGCCTTCCAGGAGAATGTGGGAAGACAGGTTTGTGAACCCAGTTACCAAAACCATAAGTTATTATTACATGACTAACGCTATGATACACAGTAAATTAGAGTTGCAATGATCACCTGCCATCCAGGTCTAACTGTAACGTGTCCTGACTGTCACCAAAGTTCTTTAAACAGATCAACAACTGGTTGTAATGATCACCTACCATCCAGGTCTAACTGTAACGTGTCCTGAATGTCACCAAAGTCCTTTAAACAGATCAACAACTGGTTGTAATGATCACCTGCCATCCAGGTCTAACTGTAATGTGTCCTGACTGTCATCAAAGTCCTTTAAACAGATCAACAACTGCCAGAAAAACAACATTATGTGCTGATCAAGAGATGCCTACACTGACTTGGCCACAGGCATAGATTAATATGCTTTGTGTGCTGCCAGCACTTACCAAGCTGGGCATCAGATCTAGTGTCTAATTATCAAAATGTGATTACCATTGGGATTTCATATTGTTCAACTGTTCATATCATTTAACTGTTCATATCATTCAACTGTTCATATCATTCATTGTGGCTGATAGTGTACACCATGGGTTTACTGATGGACACAGAGGTGTTTTTGCCTGAGACCTGGAGATTTGTGCTAGCTCCCTGGTCTAATGCATAGGCTTTAGCTCAGTGGGCTAACAGGAGACCTGGGTTTGAACCCAGCCGGTCACACTGAAACACTGTTCTCCGGTCACACTGAAACACTGTTCTCTTGGTACATAAGTAAAACCATAGATCTGATCCCTCTCTCTCCAGGGCACGTTCCCCTACGGTATTGACATAGTAGTAGCAGCTGACTACTTTGCTGTTGGGAACCTGAACAATTGCTACCTGACCATCAGGTGAGTTAAAGATACTCTACAGAGCTTTTGCCTCTGGGGGAGCTCCTGAGCCAAAATGGGCCTCCTAAGGTTTCCCTCCAACCATTTCATGAGGATGAATTACCTGACGCGTGATAAAAGTCACAACCGGGCTGATGGAAACGAGACACGTCGGTACAATTTCATATTTATCGACAGACAATTTGTTTCTTCAACATGGTGGGATCTTTTTGTGTTGGTAAAAATGTATTATGTTAGAAATGGTGGTGGAAACGCCTTTATGCGCAAATATTGATATAATAACCATCATATGGAAGTAAACTTTGAGTCCCGCGATGATATGCTGTGTGGTCCTCCCACTGCGACTCGGAAAAGCATTCCGTTTATTAGGCTACATATAAAATAAGTTATGATAAACTTCACAGGGTGGGTAAAGTGCACGGTGATGAGTTTAATGCTCATTCCCAATAAATATCGAGGGTCTTATTCTGGTGACATGATCGATGCTTCAATGCTTGGCTGCCGTTTGACAAAACATAATAATCTAGGTGTTATCCATAATAATGTAGGCTAGCCTACCCACATTGTATCTACAAGCTGTTGGCCGGAGCGCACGTGCCAAGACCAAAGTCGACAAAACCATCCGTAGAGTTGAAAAACGCGATGGAAACCCATTTTAACGTGCGAACTTAAACCGCTAAAGTCATTTATATGTACACTACGTCTTCACGCACAGCTCAGGAATGAGGCACTGAAATGTGAAAGCCCCGCCTCTCTGTAGAATGTGACTGTCACCATAGGTACCCTAAGACTGCGTCACTGACTGCTTCTGAAATGGCGTCCTATTCTCCCTTCTTATAAGTAGTTCACTAGGGAGCCATTTCAGACGCAGCCCTGCCTCACTGTGGAATGGGACCGTCGCCATCCTAACCCTATGAGTGACGTTTCTACCACCACCTGTACTTTCAGAGTAAACATTCCTCCCACGTCACGGAGCAAACCGTGTTAAAGAATGTAGCCCCGGGGTATACCTACTACACTTCTGACTGTAGCAGCAGATTACTGTTGAGGCCCAAGATGTTGTTGAGGAAATAAACTGAGAATATGTACTGTAGGGTGACGCTAAATGTTGTTGTAAAGCAGCCTTCAAATAGCTGTGTCCAGCACTGTAGTTAGGGTTAGCTGTGTCCAGCACTGTAGTTAGGGTTAGCTGTGTCCAGCACTGTAGTTAGGGTTAGCTGTGTCCAGTACTGTAGTTAGCTGTGTCCAGTACTGTAGTTAGCTGTGTCCAGTACTGTAGTTAGCTGTGTCCAGCACTGTAGTTAGGGTTAGCTGTGTCCAGTACTGTAGTTAGCTGTGTCCAGTACTGTAGTTAGCTGTGTCCAGCACTGTAGTTAGCTGTGTCCAACACTGTAGTTAGCTGTGTCCAGCACTGTAGTTAGGGTTAGCTGTGTCCAGCACTGTAGTTAGCTGTGTCCAGCACTGTAGTTAGCTGTGTCCAGCACTGTAGTTAGCTGTGTCCAGCACTGTAGTTAGGGTTAGCTGTGTCCAGCACTGTAGTTAGCTGTGTCCAGCACTGTAGTTAGGGTTAGCTGTGTCCAGCACTGTAGTTAGGGTTAGCTGTGTCCAGCACTGTAGTTAGGGTTAGCTGTGTCCAGCACTGTAGTTAGGGTTAGCTGTGTCCAGCACTGTAGTTAGGGTTAGCTGTGTCCAGCACTGTAGTTAGGGTTAGCTGTTTCCAGCACTGTAGTTAGCTGTGTCCAGCACTGTAGTTAGGGTAAGCTGTGTCCAGCACTGTAGTTAGGGTTAGCTGTGTCCAGCACTGTAGTTAGGGTAAGCTGTGTCCAGCACTGTAGTTAGGGTTAGCTGTGTCCAGCACTGTAGTTAGCTGAGTCCAGCACTGTAGTTAGGGTTAGCTGTGTCCAGCACTGTAGTTAGGGTTAGCTGTGTCCAGCACTGTAGTTAGGGTTAGCTGTGTCCAGCACTGTAGTTAGCTGAGTCCAGCACTGTAGTTAGTTAGTGAACACATTTATGTTGTCGCACCAAATGCCTCTTTATTGTGGTTTTCCCCACAAGCCGTCTGTTGTTCACCATGTTATAACATTACCTGTAGTAGTAGTAGTAGTTATAATATTACCTGTTGTAGTAGTAGTAGTAGTAGTAGTAGTAGTAGTAGTAGTAGTAGTAGTAGTAGCAGTAGTAATAGTAGTAGTAACAACATTACCTGTAGTAGTAAAATAGTAATAACCTCTTGTCTCGTTCTCTTCAGTGTATACATCGCCAGTTTCCCAGAATACACCAGGCCCATGATAGACCACTTGGTAGCCATGAAGATCAACCACTGGGACGGGTAAGGGCCTTTCCTGTCCTCCTCCATGTCCTTTAGACTTTAATCAAATACTTTCAAATACTGTACTTGATTTAGTTTGCCCGCTACCATGGAACCAATGGAATAGTCCCAGAAGCTAAATCAAGTACACCTCAAGTTAGTATTTGGAAGTATTTGTCATATGTGTTTGGCCCAGGTCGGATGTCCGTATGCCAGCCTGCTGCCATTTAAAGCATTCATACTGTATGTAGCCTATTAGTGTTGAAGCAGGTGAAATTCTCCTCCGCGTGTTTCTTGTTGTGTTGCAGGGTGATCCGTGAGCTAGCAACAAAGGCTCTGCATAATCTTACGCCTCAAGCACCTGATTATATGGCCGCAACAGGTGAGCTATGTCATTCATGCTGTTCCCTACCCGCTCTAACATCGTTGTCTTACTGTGGAATGGACTGGGTGACGTTCAGCTGCAATCACTGTTGTTGTGTCTGGGTCCTTACATCTGTCAAGTTATTTTATTTTATTTTTTATTTAGAATGGTATTTTATTGAACACATAGGGAACACACAGAGAGAGGTCAAAGGGCAGTAGGCTAGATTGGACACTATGGCGACATCGTAGACGTGTGCCGGAGGCTGCGGCATTTCAGGTAGACCAGCCAGGCCACAAATCATTCAGGTTATATTCCAATATATTAACCACATCCACACCTCTGCCCTGTTGATGTTCTGTCAGGTGTCCCTGCAAGGTATGAAAAAGACACACAATAATTGAGTTAGAATTACGTTTTATATTTGGATAATTATATTTTTAGTTATGCCTCAGCTGCTGCCCGTAGCGTTGGGCATTGATCTCCACAGTCGCCATGGCGCCATTCTGGCATCTGCTGAGATCAGCCACGCCCTCTACAAGCTGGCCAATCAGAACAACAGGTACTGGAACCTCACCTCTCAACCAGCCAATTACACTATTGGCCGTACTTATAGGAAAACCACATGAACGTTGTTATGTCATAAATCCATCCACAAAGACAGCTTTTGTTTTGCATATCGACCCGTGATTTGACTTCCTGATTTGACTTAAGCCCTTGGCTTCTATAAGGTCATAGGTCATTGACTGTTTCTATCTATTGTAGACCCAACTGTGTGTGAGATATGTGCTATCTGGGGGGATTGAACATTTCTGTTGTTGGCTGGAACATATGGACAATAAAATTGAATTGCATTGGATTGTAGACCGGTGACGGAGCTCATCTCTTCAGACTGTGTGGATGGACTCAAGAGCATTCACCAGAGGGTTAGTTCACTTCTCTCTTGCTTCTCTCTCTCTCTCTCTCTCTCTCTCTCTCTCTCTCTCTCTCTCTCTCTCTCTCTCTCTCTCTCTCTCTCTCTCCTCTCTCTCTCTCTCTCCTCTCTCTCTCTCACTACCCTCTCCCTTTCTCTCACTACCCTCTCCCTTTCTCTCTCCCTCTTGCTACTCTCTTCCTCTTTCTCTCCTCCGGTGTCTTTTCACCCACATGTATGTTGTCTCAAGTGTTGACCATTCACCTGAGTCAGTTGTACCAACATAGGTACAGTGGGGGAAAAAAGTATTTAGTCAGCGACCAATTGTGCAAGTTCTCCCACTTAAAAAGATGAGAGAGGCCTGTAATTTTCATCAAAGGTACACGTCAACTATGACAGACAAAATGAGAATTTTTTTTCCAGAAAATATCATTGTAGGATTTTTTATGAATTTATTTGCAAATGATGGTGGAAAATAAGTATTTGGTCACCTACAAACAAGCAAGATTTCTGGCTCTCACAGACCTGTAACTTCTTCTTTAAGAGGCTCCTCTGTCCTCCACTCGTTACCTGTATTAATGGCACCTGTTTGAACTTGTTATCAGTATAAAAGACACCTGTCCACAACCTCAAACAGTTACACTCCAAACTCCACTATGGCCAAGAGCAAAGAGCTGTCAAAGGACACCAGAAACAAAATTGTAGACCTGCACCAGGCTGGGAAGACTGAATTTGCAATAGGTAAGCAGCTTGGTTTGAAGAAATCAACTGTGGGAGCAATTATTAGGAAATGGAAGACATACAAGACCACTGATAATCTCCCTCGATCTGGGGCTCCACGCAAGATCTCACCCCATGGGGTCAAAATGATCACAAGAACGGTGAGCAAAAATCCCAGAACCACACGGGGGGACCTAGTGAATGACCTGCAGAGAGCTGGGACCAAAGTAACAAAGCCTACCATCAGTAACACACTACGCCGCCAGGGACTCAAATCCTGCAGTGCCAGACGTGTCCCCCTGCTTAAGCCAGTACATGTCCAGGCCCGTCTGAAGTTTGCTAGAGTGCATTTGGATGATCCAGAAGAGGATTGGGAGAATGTCATATGGTCAGATGTAACCAAAATAGAACTTTTTGGTAAAAACTCAACTCGTCGTGTTTGGAGGACAAAGAATGCTGAGTTGCATCCAAAGAACATCATACCTACTGTGAAGCATGGGGGTGGAAACATCATGCTTTGGGGCTGTTTTTCTGCAAAGGGACCAGGACGACTGATCCGTGTAAAGGAAAGAATGAATGGGGCCATGTATCATGAGATTTTGAGTGAAAACCTCCTTCCATCAGCAAGGGCATTGAAGATGAAACATGGCTGGGTCTTTCAGCATGACAATGATCCCAAACACACCGCCCGGGCAACGAAGGAGTGGCTTCGTAAGAAGGAGTGGCCTAGCTAGTCTCCAGATCTCAACCCCATAGAAAATCTTTGGAGGGAGTTGAAAGTCCGTGTTGCCCAGCGACAGCCCCAAAACATCACTGCTCTAGAGGAGATCTGCATGGAGGAATGGGCCAAAATACCAGCAACAGTGTGTGAAAACCTTGTGAAGACTTACAGAAAACGTTTGACCTGTGTCATTGCCAACAAAGGGTATATAACAAAGTATTGAGAAACTTTTGTTATTGACCAAATACTTATTTTCCACCATAATTTGCAAATAAATTCATAAAAAATCCTACAATGTGATTTTCTGGATTTTATTTTCTCATTTTGTCTGTCATAATTGATGTGTACCTATGATGAAAATTACAGGCCTCTCTCATCTTTTTAAGTGGGAGAACTTGCACAATTGGTGGCTGACTAAATAATTTTTTTCCCCACTGTACATGTTGTTGTCTTTAAAGTTGTACATCACCAGTCTTTTCATCATGTGTTTGTTTCGTCTTCCAGCTATTTGACAGAAAGCAGTACAGGTAAGCACTGTTGTTTTCCTCATTTTCCTCATTCTGTTTTGGACTGTTTCAGGAGTTGATTTAAAAAATAAATAAAAAATTATGTAATGCCCCTTTTAAAGGTTTCAGACCTGTATGTTGTGCAACTGCAAAACATTTTTTTGGGTGTACACGTGTGCTGTTGTCTCCTGTCTGTGTAGGGGCTTTGGTGGTGAGCTGATGAGGCCTGCAGTCTGTTCTCTCATTGAGAAGATGTCCCTCTCCAAGATGCCTTTCAAGGACGACCCTGTCATCAGTGAGTTTTCATATCGTTGATATTCAGGCCTTATCTGAATGATTCCTCCATCTAGCAGGGTTTCTCAATAGTGGTCAAATACATCCTGCGGGTGATTTTATGTGTTTTCAGAGATTTTATTAGATTTTTTCAAATCATTTGAGTTGTTGGACATAAAAGACTGTAAAATCACCAGAAAAACAGCTCAAAGTAATTTACATTTTTGGGAAATCTGTTCCCAAGTATTCCCACGCATAAATAGAGGCATATGTGATCGTATCCCAATGTAATCAAGGTTTGAAATTATTCTGTTTTTGTCAAATACTATATCTATTTGGGATTCTTGCGGTCAATTTGCAGTGTACAAATTATTTATAACTATAATAATAATAATAATAATAATAATAATATGCCATTTAGCAGACGCTTTTATCCAAAGCGACTTACAGTCATGCGTGCATACATTATTCGTTTTTTGTGTATGGGTGGTCCCGGGGATCGAACCCACTACCTTAGCGTTACAAGCGCCGTGCTCTACCAGCTGAGCTACAGAGGACCACACACGGAACTATGTTCCGACCATCCGCTCAAGAAGAAATCGACCAGTGGTTGAATGTAATTAGGGACCGTATAGCATCAATAAACTGGCTATTATCTTCCTGAAGGTTTTGTTGGAACAGGAAAAGGGTTATACCTGGGCTATAGCTAACAGAGAGGTGGCTAACAGTAGTAACCACTTGTTTTATCGTTTGTCATGGTTATACCTGGGCTGTGGTTGTTAATGATTAACAGATGGTGTATAATAATGGACAAGCCACGCCCCACCGTTAGAGCCAGGAGGTACTGTACCGTACAAACCACTGACACGTAATGACAGAGTAAACCCTGTCTGTTTCAGCTGGCTGGCAGTGTCTCTGTACTGTACAAACCACTGACACGTCATGACAGAGTAAACCCTGTCTGTTTCAGCTGGCTGGCAGTGTCTCTGTACTGTACAAACCACTGACACGTAATGACAGAGTAAACCCTGTCTGTTTCAGCTGGCTGGCAGTGTCTCTGTACTGTACAAACCACTGACACGTAATGACAGAGTAAACCCTGTCTGTTTCAGCTGGCTGGCAGTGTCTGATAGACGACACCTTGAAGAGCCTCCACCTCATCTCACCTGGACCTAGGGACGGTATCAAGGTACAGTTCAGCATTCTACACACACACACGTTTGTTTTACTATTCTTGTGAGGACCAAACAATTGATTCCCATTCTAAATCCTATTTTCCGTAACCCCTAAACCAAACCAAAACCTTAAGACAGACAGACAGACACACACCATATTGTGAAATCCCTTTATTGTGGGATTTACATTGTACAGTGCCTTCGAAAAGTATTCAGACCCCTTGACATTTTCCAAGTTTTGTTACGTTACAGCCTTATTCTAAAATGTATTAAATTGTTTTTTCCCCCTCATCAATCTACACACAATAACCCATAATGACAAAGCAAAAACAGTTAAAGAAATGTTTGTAAACTTTGCAAAAAACAGAAATATCACATTTACGTAAGTATTCAGACCCTTTACTCAATACTTTGTTGAAGCACCTTTGGCAGCAATTGCAGCCTCATCTTCTTAGGTATGACGCTACAAGCTTGGCACACCTGTATTTAGGGAGTTTCTCCCATTCTTTTCTGCAGATCCTCTCAAGCTCTGTCAGGTTGGATGGGGGGCATCGCTGCACAGTTATTTTCAGGTCTCTCCAGAGATGTTAGATCGGGTTCAAGTCCGGACTCTGGCTGGGCCACTCAAGGACATTCAGAGACTTGTCCCGACGCCACTCCTGTGTTGTCTTGGCTGTGTGCTTAGGGTCGTTGTCCTGTTGGAAGGTGAACCTTCGCCCCTGTCTGAGGTCCTGAGCGCTCTGGAGCAGGTTTTCATCAAGGATCTCTCTGTACTTTGCTCCGTTCATCTGTCCCTCGATCCTGACTAGTCTCCCAGTCCCTGCCACTGAAAAACATCCCCACAGCATGATGCTGCCACCACCATGCTTCACCGTAGGGATGGTGCCAGGTTTCCTCCAGACGTGACGCTTGGCATTCAGGCCAAAGAGTTCAGTCTTGGTTTCATCAGACCAGAGAATCTTGTTTCTCATGGTCTGAGAGTCTTTTAGGTGCCTTTTGGCAAACTCCATGCGGGCTGTCATGTGCCTTTTACTGAGGAGTGGCTTCCGTCTGGCCACCCTACCATAAAGGCCTGGTTGGTGGAGTGCTGCAGAGAGGGTTGTCCTTCTGGAAGGTTCTCCCATCTCCACAGAGGAGCTCTGGAGGTCTGTCAGAGTGACCATCGGGTTCTTGGTCACCTCCCTGACGAAAGCCCTTCTCCCCCGATTGCTCAGTTTGGCCGGGTGGCCAGCTCTAGGAAGAGTCTTGGTGGTTCCAAACTTCTTCCATTTAAGAATGATGGAGGCCACTGTGTTCTTGGGGGCCTTCAATGCTGCAGAATTATTTTGGGACCCTTCACCAGATTTGTGCCTCAACACAATCCTGTCTCGGAACTCTGCAGACAATTCCTTTGACCTCATGGCTTGGTTTTTGCTCTGTCGTGCACTGTCAACTGCGGGACCTTATATAGACAGGTGTGTGCCTTTCCAAATCATGTCCAATCAATTGAATTTATCACAGGTGGACTCCAATCAAGTTGTAGAAACATCTCAAGGATGATCGATGGAAACAGGATGCACCTGAGCTCAATTTCGAGTCTCATAGCAAATGGTCTGAATACTTATGTAAATAAGTTATTTCTGTTTTTTAGGTTTTAATACATTGGCAAAAGATTCTAAAAACCTGTTTTTCCTTTGTGATTATGGGGTATTGTGTGTAGATTGCTGAGGATTTTTATTTATTTAATCCATTTTAGAATAAGGCTGTAATGTAACAAAATGTGGGAAAAAGTCAAGGGGTCTGAATACTTTCCGAAGGCCCTGTACATAGCGAACACAACAAATACAACCGTTTTATTATGGACTCTCATGACATTAAGTTGGCATAGGCTACACACTGTATAATGGTTTGTGTGTAATGTGGTCCTCCCCCCCTGTAGGAGGCAGCGGTGTCAGCCCTGGCAGCACTGTGTGAGCAGTACTACCAGCCGCAGCCAGGCATGGCTGACCCCCAGATGCAGGGTGGGTAGCATGGGGGGTCTCTGTACCATTTAGAAGGCTTCATAAAAATGAGCCATACCTTACACAGCATTCTGGATTCCTCTAACTCCTGTGATCTAATCGGTGTGTCCGTCTGTGTGTGTGTGTGTCCGTCTGTGTGTGTGTGTGTGTTCTCTGTGTGTAGAGGTCCTGGTGTCCCAGTATATAGCAGGGTTAAAGAGTACGCAGGTATTGACCCGGTGTGGCAGTGCACTGGCCCTGGGTTCTCTACCAAGGTTCATGATCCATGGAAAACTACACCAGGTACTATACATCTGTTAGAGTTAATAACACTACACCAGGTACTATACATCTGTTAGTTAATAACACTACACCAGGTACTATACATCTGTTAGTTAATAACACTACACCAGGTACTATACATCTGTTAGTTAATAACACTACACCAGGTACTATACATCTGTTAGTTAATAACACTACACCAGGTACTATACATCTGTTAGTTAATAACACTAAACCAGGTACTATACATCTGAGTAATAACACTACACCAGGTACTATACATCTGTTAGTTAATAACACTACACCAGGTACTATACATCTGTTATTGTAATAACACTACAACCAGGTACTATACATCTGTTAGTTAATAACACTACACCAGGTACTATACATCTGTTAGTTAATACACACAACACCAGGTACTATACATCTGTTAGTTAATAACACTACACCAGGTACTATAATCTGTTAGTTAATAACACTACACCAAGGTACTATACATCTGTTAGTTAATAACACTACACCAGGTACTAACATCTGTTAGTTAAAAAACACTACAAACCCGGTACTTACATCTGTTAGTAATAACACTACACAGGTACTATACATCTGTTGTTAATACACTACACCAGGTATATAAAATTGTTTGTTAAATAACAACCACCCAGGTACTATACATCTGTTAGTTAATTAAAAACTACAAACAGGAACAATCCCAAAAGCCTGATTCAGTATTATACTGATAGGATATGTGCATGTTGGGGTGAGCAGCCTCTTTTCACTATGAACCCTATTCTATATTTTAGTTGCATTCTAAACAGTGCCTCAGGTCAGTTTTCAGCACCACATTAAAGTCAGATACTTGATACCTGTGTGTGTGCTGGGGGTGGTGTGTGATCTGTGGGGGCTTCGAGTGCTGTAGGTGAGGGGGGGTTGCTTTCACGTGAGGGGGCGGGGGGGGGTGCCGGTTTGGGGCCGTGGGTGCTGTTGGGTTTTCCTCCTCATTCAACCTTCCTGCTCACTCCACTCTCCACCGGCGTGACGCCCCCCCCCTCCCCCCCCCCGACCCCCCAGGGCGCCGCCAACCCCAGGGCCCGGGCCACCGCGACCCGCCACCGGCCTCGCCACCCGCCCCACCTCGAGACCCCCACCCGCTGCCACCGCCACCGAGACCGCCCCACCCTTCCCACCCCACCGCTATAATCCTCCCCCCTCGCTCCACTCCCCACCGATCTCTCCACTCCCCCCACCCTAACTCTCCACTCCCCACCTTGTACTCCTCCACCCTCCTCCCCACTCCTCCACCCGTACTCCACTTTCCTCCACCTCTGGGACTCCTCCCCTCCCCGCCCCTCCCCACCCCCCCCACCCCACCCAAACTCCCCCCCTCCCTCCAGCCCTCCACCCTCCTCTCCACTCCGCACCTATAACCCAAACCTTTTCCTCTTCACTCCCCCATCTCGTACTCCTCCACCTCTTCTCCCACTCCTCCACCTCCCCCACCCTCTCAACTTCCCATCTCACCCTTACCCCCACCCTTCCTCCTCACTCCCCACCTCACTCCCCCCCCCCTCTACTCTCCCACCTCTCCTCCTTCACTCGCCCAAACCTTTACTCCACCTTTTCTCTCCACTCCTCCTCTTCCCTCCACCCCCTCTCTCCACTCTCCCTTCCTCTCCACTCCGGATCTTACCACCTGTTCCTCTCCTTCCATCTATTCTCCACCTATCCTCTCCAATCCTGTAAACCCCCCAACTCCCCCCTCTTTTCCTTTTCATTTTCTTCTTACTCCTCATTCTGTTCTCCATTTCCTCTTATCTCACCTTTATACTCCTCCCCTTTTTCCTTTTTCCTCTTTCTCCCTCTTCTCCTTTTCCTTTCTTTTCCTCTCTACTCTGTTCACTCTTTTCTCTTACTCCTTTCTCTTCTCTTTCCACCTTTTACTCCACCTTCTTTCCTTCTCATTCTGTTACTCCTCCCTCTTTTCTCTTCTTTCACTTCACGTCCCCTCTATTTTCCTCATTTATCCTTTTCCGTTTCTCCACTCCACCTTTCCTTACTATCCTGCGTACCACTTCAACCTCTACTCCCTTTTTGTACCCCAACTTACCTTACTCTATTTACTCACTCCCGATACTTCTCTTCCACCTCTCTCTTCTTCTCTCTATCCCTTCTACTAAAATCATCTTTTTGCTCTTAGTTTACAATGCATTCTTTTCACTCTCCGTTATCTATCTTGTTGTTAACTGTTTTCTAGGGTTCCTCCTTATTCACTCCCTGGTTGTTTGGGAATGTGGGTCTAGGTGGTAAAATACAGAGGGGTTCTTTTCCGGACCTGTTATGTGTTTTTTTTTTTTTTTTTTTTTTTACCCCCCCCCCCCCCCTCGGGGGGGGGGGGGGGGGGGGACTCCCCCCCCTTACCGGCTTTTAACTCCCTTTTAGCCCTTTTTTATGGTGAAAGTTTGCACCCCCCCTGCCCCTAGTTCCCACATTCCCCCTTGTTTTTTTTTTTTTTTTTTGCTATTTTCCGTAACCCCTAAAAACCAAAAAACCCAAAAAAATTTAAACAGGGCAGACAGGGCACACACCATAAATTTTGAAAACCCTTTATTGTGGGATTTACATTGTACAGTGCCTTCGAAAAGTATTCAGAACCCCCTTTACATTTTCCAAATTTTTTAAGTTAAAAAGCCTTTTTCTAAAAATTTTTAAATTGTTTTTTCCCCCTCATCAAACTACACACAATAACCCCCCAAAGACAAAACAAAAAATTTTAAAAAAATGGTTTTTTTAAAAATTTGCAAAAAACAGAAAAATCACATTTAAAGTAAGTATTCAGACCCTTTTTTCCAATACTTTGTTGAACCTTTGGGGGCAATTGCAGGGCCTATTTTTTAGGGGATGACGTACAAAGCTTGGCCAAACCCGTATTTTGGGAGTTTCTCCCCTTCTTTTTTTTGGAAACCTCCAAACTCTGTCCCGGTTGGGTGGGGGGCATCGCTGCACAGTTATTTTTCAGTCTCTCCAAGAGTTTAAAAGGGGTTTAAGGGCCCCGGGCTCTGGCTGGGCCACTCAAAGGCCCTTCCGAGCTTGTCCCCACGCCACTCCTGTGTTGGGCTTGGGCGTTTTGCTTAGGGTCGTTGTCCGTTGGAAGGGGGAACCTTCCGGGCCCTTTTCTGAGGTCCTTTAGCGTCTGGAGCAGGGTTTTTATAAGGGCTCCCCTGTACTTTCTCCGTTTATCTGTCCCCAAACCATGCCTAGTCTCCCCCCGATCCTTCCCCCCCTGAAAACTTTCCCCACCAGGGATGGTGCCTGCCACCACCCCATGCTTCACTTTGGGGGTTTTTTTCCCCGGTTTCCCCCCCAGACGGAAAGCTTGGGGAAATTTAGGCCAAAGAGTTTCGTTCCCCTTTCATCAGCCAGAGAATCTTTTTTTCTCATGGTCTGAGAGGGCTTTTAAAGGGGCCTTTGGGGAAAAATCCCTGCGGGGTCATGTGCCTTTTTCTGAGGAGTGGGTTTTCCCTTTTGGCCCCCCTACCATAAAGGCCTGGTTGGTGGGTGCTGGGAGAGAGGTTTCCTTCTGGAAAAGGGTTTTCCCCTCTTCCCCAGAGGAGTCTGGAGGGTTTTCAGGTGACCCTCTTTTTTTGGTCCCCCTCCCTGACGAAAAAACCCCCCCCCTCCCCCCCTTGTCGGTATTTTGGGGCCCGGGGGGCCAGCTCTAGGAAGAGTCGGGGGTTCCAAAAATTTTCCATTTAAGAATGATGGAGGGCCCCGTGTTTTTGGGGGCCCCTTTAATTCTGGCAGAAATTAAATTTTTGGGCCCTTTTACCAATTGTGCCTCAACACAACCGTCTCGGAAATCGCGACCAAATTCCCTTTACCTCATGGCTTTTGGGTTTTTTCTCTGTGTGCCCCTGTCAAAAATGCGGGACCTTTAAAAGACAGGTGTGTGCCTTTCCCAAAAACCATGTCCAAACAATTTTAAAATTTTTCACAGGGGACTCCAATTCCCCAAATTGTGAAACATCTCAAGGAGATCGATGGAAAAAAGGGGTGCCCCCTTAGTCCCAAATTTTGAGTTTTCCCTAGGCAAAATTTGGGCGAAAAAATTATGTAAATATTTTTTTTCTGTTTTTTTTGGTTTTTAAACAATTTGGGAAAAATTCTTAAAAACCCGGTTTTTTTTTCCCTTTTTGGGTTTGGGGTAAATTTTGTGAGATTGCTGAGGATTTTTTTTTATTTAAACCATTTTGAATAAGGCTGTAAAGGGAAAAAAATGTGGGAAAAAGTAAAGGGGGCCCGAAACTTTCCCAAGGCCCTGGGAAATAGAACACAACAAAAACAACCGTTTTATTATGGACTCTCCCTTACATTAAGTTTTTGGCATAAAAGGGTCACACTGTAAAAAATGGTTTGGGGGTAAAAGTTTGGGCCCCCCCCCCTTAGGAGGGCAAACGGGGTTTTTCAGCCCTGGAAACATTGGGGGGGGCATACTACCAGCCGCAGCCCCGGAGGCTGAAACCCCCCGTGAAAGGGGGGGTGGGCATGGGGGGGCCCCTGTCCATTTTTGAAGGCTTTATAAAAAAGGGGGATAAACCCTTTCAAAGGGATTCTGGATTCCTCTAACTCCTGTGATTCTAATCGGTGTGGGGTGTGTGTGTGTGTGTCCCTTCTGTGTGTGGTTTTGTGGGCCCCTTTGTGTAGGGGGTCCCTTTGGGGGCCCAGTATAAAAGAAAGGGTTTAAAAAAATACGGGAGGGATTGACCCGGTGTGGCAGTGCAATGGCCCGGGGGTTTTCTACCAAGGGTTTTAGATCCCGGAAAAAAATACCCCAGGGACTATTTCATTGTTTGGGTTTTAAAACCTACACCAGGTACATACATCTGGGTTTAGTTAATAAAAAATACAACCCCGGGGGAAATATAAATCTTTTTGTTAATAACCTACACCCCCCACTTACAAACTTTTTGTTTTAAAAAACTACACAAGGGACTATTAAAATCTGTTAGTTAAAAACAATACACCAGGTTTCTATACATTGTTAGTTAATAACACACACCAGGTAATATACATCTGTTAGAGTTAATAACCTACACCGGTACATACATCTGTAGTTTTTAAAAACAATACCCCAGGTTTCTAACATCTGTTTTAAAACACTACAAAAACCAAAGGTTTCTATACTCTGTTAGTTAATAACACACCCCGGTACATACAAACTTTTTAATAATAACACTCCACCGGTACTATAATTGTTAGTTAATAACACACCCCCATGGGACTATACTCTGTTAGTTAAAAACCTTTCCCGGGGGCTAACATTGTTAGTTTTAAAAAACACTACAAACCCGGTACTATAAACTGTTAGTTAATAACCCCTACCCCAGGGGACTATACATCTGTTTTTTTTTAAAAAAACTACCACCAGGTACTATACATTGTTTGTTTTAAAAAAACCCACCCAGGTACTATACATCTGTTTTGTTTAAAAAACACTACACCCGGGAAAACATCCAAAAGCCTGATTCAGATTATAATGATAGATTTTTCTGCAGTTGGGGGAGCAAACCTCTTTTTTACTAGAAAATATTCTTTTTATGTTTTCATTTTTACAGTGCTCAGGTTTAGTTTCAGCACCACATTTTATGTCAGACTACCTTTTATACCTGGTGTGTGCATGTGTGTGTCAACCCGTCAGGTCCCTTTAGCCGAGCTGTAGGGCAAGGGAGGATGCTTCACGGGGGGCCGGGGAGTTCTGCCAAGGCCATGGCACAGTGAGGCCGTCCCTCCTCCCTCTCATTCCCCCCCCCTCCTCCCACTCCACTCCTCCCCCCGGGGGCCCCCACCCCCTTCCCCCACGCCCCACCTCCACCCCCAACCCCCACCCCCACCCGGGGGTCCCCCAACCCCCCCCCCCCCACCCCCGAACCCCCACCCTTCCCCCCCCCACCCAAAAAAACCCCCACCCTTTCCCAACCCCCCCCTCTATTTCTCCTCCACCCCTCCCTCCACTCCCCACCCTTTTTTCTCCACTTTCCCCCACCCTTTGGGTCCCCCCAATCCCCCACCTTTACCCCCTTCCACCCTCCCCCTCCCACTCCTCCCCCCTTTCCCCCACTCCTTTCCCCCCCTTTTTGTAAATTTCCCCCACCTCTCCCCCCACTCCCCAAACCCCCCCCCACCCCCACCCCCAAACCCCCACCCTTTTTCCCCCACCCCCCACCTCTCCCCTCCCCCCCCGCCACCTTAACTCCACCTTTTCCCCTTCCTCCTCCTCGCGACTCCTCCACCTCTTCTCTCCACTCCTCCACCCCCCCCACCCGCCAACCCCCCCCTCCCCCCACCCTTTCCCCCCACCCCTCGGCACCCCCACCCGGGGAAAATCCCCCCCCCTCTACTTCCAAATTCCTCTCCCCTGCCAAAATTTTATTTCTAAAACCTTTTTTCTCCACTCCTTTCCCCTTTTTTTTCCCTTCCCCCTCTCCCCTCCACTCCTCCCCCTTCCCCCCCCCAAAAACCCCCAAATCTATTTTCCACCTTTTCCCCTTCCCCTCCCCCATTTTGGGAATTTTCCCCCCCATTCCTCTCCCCTCCTTAAACCCCTTCCCCTCCCCCAAAAACCCCTTTTTCTCCTCCACCTTTCCTCTTAAAAAACCCCACATTTTGAATCCCCCACCTTTCCCCTTCCCTCCTCCCCCCTTTTATTTTCCCCTCCACCTTTCCTCTCCACTCCTCCACCTCTTATCCTCCACCCTTTTCCCCTTCACTCCTCCCTCTGTACCCCCCTCCACCTCAACTCCTCCCCCTCTTTCCCCTCCCCACCCCCCCCCTTTCCCCCTCTATACCCACCCATTTCCTTTCACTCCTCCATCTCTGTTTCTCCCCCCCACCTCTTTTCTCCCCTCCCTTTTACCCCCCTTTCCCCGCCTCCCCCCCTCCACTCCCCCCCCCCTCCCCTCTCCGTTTTTCCACTCCAAACCCCTTCCCTCCTGACTTCCCGGCCCCCAAAATTCCAAATATAACCCTTAAATTAAAATGTTTAAAACCCCCCAAAAAAAACCCTTTAAAACCTTTTTTTCCCCCAAATAAAAAATTCTTTCTCCAACCCCCCCTCCCCTTTCTCCTTCTTACCCTTTTTTCCCCCCCTTTTTATTTTTGGAAACTTCCCAAAATTTTTTTAAACCAAAAGGCATATCTTGTTCCCTCTTTCCCGTTCCCATTATTTGGTTTTTTCCCCGTTTTTTTTTCCCCCCTTTTAAAACCCCCTTTTTCCTTTGGGGGTTGGGTTTTTGGTTTATTGTTTTTTTTGATTGGGCTTTGGGGGGGTAAAAAGGGGGGCCGGGAGGATTGGGTTGGGGGAAAGGGAAAACCCATTTTTTACCTTAGGGTTTGTATCCAAAGGGGCCCTTGGTCTCTCCCTTTTTCTTTTGTGTCTCGTTGTTTTTTGTCCTTTTGTCTCGGGGTTTTTCTTTTTTGGGGGCTCTGTTTCGGTGGGTTTTTTGTCCTTTGTTTTGTTCTTTGTCTCTTTGTTCTTTGGGGCTCTTTGTCTCTGTTTTGGGTTTTGTGTCTCTTTTTTTTCTTTGTTTCTTTGTCTCTTTGTCTCTGTTGGTCTCTTTGTCTCTTTGTCTCTTGTTTTCGTGTTTTCTCTTGTCTCTGGGTTTTTCTCTTGGGTTCCCTTTTTCTCTTGTCCCTGTTCTCCTGTGGGCCCCTGTGGCTCTTCCCCCGTTGGGGCTTCCTGTGTCTCTTTTTGTGTTTTGTGTCTCTTTTCCCGGGGTTTTCTGTGTCTTTTTCTGTATCTTTTTTCTTTCACCTTTTTTTCCCCCCCTTAACTCGGGGGGGTTGTTTTTGGGAATTTTTTCCCTTCCCCTCAAACCAATGTTCTTTTTTTCTTTTATGAACTCAAACTTTTCTCCCTCCCCTCTCCCCCCCTTTTCTCCTCTCTCCCCTCTCTTTTCTCCCCCTCCTCTCCCCTTTCTTATCCCTCCCTCTTCTCCTCTCCTTCCCCTTTTCCCCCTTTCCCATTCCCTTCCTCTTCTCCTCCCCCCTCCCCTCTTCCCCCTTTTTCCCTTCTTTTCCTTCCCCTTCTCTTTTTTTTCCTCCTTCTCTTTTCTTCCCCTTTCCTTCCCTCCCCTTTTCTTTCCTTCCCTTCCCCTTTTTCCCTCCCCCCCTTCCTCCCCCCTCCTCCCCCCCACAACTGGGTCCCTTTTTGGGGCCCCCCCGGCCAAGCCCAGTTAGTTTACCTTGGGGGAAAGGAATTTTCACCCGGTTAAAAGAATTCGTGCGGACAAGGGCTTTCTCCCCTTTTTTCCTTTTGTTTGGGTTTTGATTTAACTAAATTTTTTATTTTAATATTTTCCCCAATTTGGAATTCCCCCCAAAAATTTTTTATTTATTAAAATTAATAATTATATATAATTTTTTTTTTTTGTTTGTTTATTTTTTTTTTTTTTTCCCCTTTTTTTTTTTTTTTTTTTTAAAAAACAACCGTTTCCCCTCCCTTTCCCCTCCCCCTCTTCTTAAAAAAATTTTTTTTCCTGGTTTTTGTCTGGTTTTGTTTCAATTTATTTCGGGTTCCCTTTGCCAAAAGCTTTTTCCCCCTGCCCTGGGGGAAATTTCCCCGGGGGGGAAAAGGTGGGGGGTAAGGGATTGTTTCAAATTTTTTTTGGAATTGGGAAAATTTTTTTTTTTTGTTTAAATTTTAAATTTTAAAAGGGGTTTAAAGTTTTTGCCCGGCCTTCAAAAGCTTTCTTCCTTCCCCAAACCCCAAAGTGGAAAATACAGTGGCTTTCGAAAATATTCAACCCCCCTTGGGGATTTTTCCCATTTTGTTTTTCCCCCTTTCAACCTGGAATTAAAATGGGTTTTTTTTGGGGGGGTTTTTATCTTTGTTTACACAAGCATGCCTGCCACTTTGAAGATGCAAAATTATTTTATTGTGAAACAAACAAGAAATAAGAAAAAAAAAAACAGAACTTGAGCGTTGCGTAACTATTCTGACCCCCCCCAAAGTCTAGACTTTGGTAGAGCCACCTTTTGCAGCAATTACAGCCTGCAAGTATCTTGGGGTATGTCTCTATAAGCTTGGCACATCTAGCCACTGGGATTTTTTGCCCATTCTTCAAAGCAAAACTGCTCCAGCTCCTTCAAGTTGGATGGGTTCCGCTGGTGTACAGCAATCTTTAAGTCATACCACAGATTCTCAATTGGATTGAGGTCTGGCTTTGACTAGGCCCATTCCAAGACATTTAAATGTTTCCCCTTAAACCACTCGAGTGTTGCTTTAGCAGTATGCTTAGGGTCATTGTCCTGCTGGAAGGTGAACCCCCGTCCCAGTCTCAAATCTCTGGAAGACTGAAACAGGTTTCCCTCAAGAATTTCCCTGTATTTAGCGCCATCCATCCATTCCTTCAATTCTGACCAGTTTCCCAGTCCCTGCCGATGGAAAAACATCCCCACAGCAGGATGATGCCACCACCATGGGGATGGTGTTCTCGGGGTGATGAGAGGTGTTGGGTTTGCGCCAGACATAGCGTTTTCCTTGATGGCCAAAAAGCTAAATTTTAGTCTCCTCTGACCATAGTACCTTCTTCCATATATTTGGGAAGTCTCCCACATGCCTTTTGGCGAACACCAAACGTGTTTGCTTATTTTTTTCTTTAAGCAATGGCTTTTTTCTGGCCACTCTTCCGTAAAGCCCAGCTCTGTGGAGTGTACGGCTTAAAGTGGTCCTATGGACAGATACTCCAATCTCCGCTGTGGAGCTTTGCAGCTCCTTCAGGGTTATCTTTGGTCTCTTTGTTGCCTCTCTGATTAATGCCCTCCTTGCCTGGTCCGTGAGTTTTGGTGGGCGGCTTTCTCTTGGCAGGTTTGTTGTGGTGCCATATTCTTTCAATTTTTTAATAATGGATTTAATGGTGCTCCGTGGGATGTTCAAAGTTTCGGATATTTTTTTATAACCCAACCCTGATCTGTACTTCTCCAGAACTTTGTCCCTGACCTGTTTTGAGAGCTCCTTGGTCTTCATGGTGCCGCTTGCTTGGTGGTGCCCCTTGCTTAGTGGTGTTGCAGACTCTGGGGCCTTTCAGAACAGGTGTATATATACTGAGAACATGTGACAGATCTTGTGACACTTAGATTGCACACAGGTGGACTTTATTTAACTAATTATGTGACTTCTGAAGGTAATTGGTTGCACCAGATCTTATTTAGGGGCTTCATAGCAAAGGGGGTGAATACATATGCACGCACCACTTTTCCATTATTTATTATTTTTAATTTTTTCATTTCACTTCACCAATTTGGACTATTTTGTGTATATCCATTACATGAAATCCAAATAAAAATCAATTTAAATTACAGGTTGTAATGCAACAATATAGGAAAAACGCCAAGGTGGATGAATACTTTTGCAAGGCACTGTAACTGTTAGTTTGAACTAGTTGCCTCAAGGGAATGATGAATCTGATCTATGACCTTTACTCCCTGTTACAGCCTTAATATTACATGAACTAATCTGTCTGTCTGTCTGTCTGTCTGATGAACTGGACCGCTTCTACGGCATTCTCTCCACCTGTCTCCACCTGTGAACTGTCGCTTCGCACACACAGACACTGTGGCTCCTCTCTCAGGGCGTGACGTTAGAGTAGATATCTTCATTACCACATCACACAAACTAAAGCTGCCCTCGGGACATGACCAAACTGATTTGAATATTAGCTTTTAGGACCCTGGGGGCGGTGGCATGACAAGTGGCATTTCAGGTGTGTGTGTGTTTGAGGTATTAATCTCTCTTCTCCTCCTCTCCAGGGTGAGAGAGGCAGCCATGACTAGTCTGCTGGTGGTCGGCACCGCTCCACAACTACTCTCCCAAGACCTGTGAGTAGAATAACTTCCTCAATCACGCTGTACCACTTTAAACTAACAACTTTATAAAACCTTCATAAGGCCTTCATAGATGCTTCACAAATCATTCATAAGCGTGCTATATAGAAGGTAAGAAAGGTGTTATGACATTTATGTTATTTTATATAGTAGGAATTAAAGAGTCTTAGCTGTAGCTCTTCATTCATTCCCTCCCTGACCACTTTTTTACATTCTCATCCGTTAATTCCCTCTTCATTCATTCCCACTTCTTTTCCTCCTCTCATCCCTCTCTCCTCCTCGTCTATCTCATCCTCCCCCGGGTCCGTAACCTACCCCTCTCCTCTCCTTCCCTACGAATCTCTTCCTACTCAGCTCATCCTCCATCCCCCTACTCATCACCTCCTCTCCCTCATCCATCTTCCTTCTCCATCTTCCCTTCCTCTCATCTTCTCCTCCGACCTCTCCTCTCCCCTCTCTCCTCTCCTCCTCTCTTCTCATCCCTCTCTCCTCTCCTCTACTCATCTCTCCTCTCCTCTCATCTCTCCTCTCCTCCTCTCATCTCATCCCCCTCTCCATCTCTCCTCTCCTCCTCTCATCCCTCTCTTCTCCTCTCCTCCTCTCCTCCCTCTTTCCTCTCCTCCTCTCCTCTCCTCCTCAGGGTGAATGGTATGATGTGTAGCTTGGCCCAGCAGTCAGCAGAGAAGATACATCGCTGCAGAGCCCATGCTGGATCAGTGTTCGTCAGGCTCCTCCATAGTAACAACCCTGCAGTACCTCACATCCCCCACCGGGAGGAGCTGCTCGCCATCTTCCCTCCGTGAGTCTAAATACATTTACATTTGAGTCATTTAGCAGACGCTGTTATCCAAAGTGACTTACATCTTAAGCTAGCTAGGTGAGACAACCACATGTCACAGTCATAGTCAGCAAGCAAATTAAACAGCTATCAGCAGTCGGTGCTAATAAGAAGTAACCACTAACTAACCCCTCAGGCTGTTAGAAGGGGATCAGAGAACTCTACTCTTCGCTGTGTGAGTCTAAGGCCCTGTCCAGAAACAACCCCTAGCCTGAACTTCCCGTAGGGACTTCAGTGATCTGAAAGAGTTGGATAAGTCGTCTCCGAGCCGTTAAGAGTTTGTCCAACTGGACGCCATGTTAGTGCCTTTGACCATTCCATGTATCCATTCATGACAAGTGTGTTGGATGTTAGTGCCTTTGACCATTCCATGTATCCATTCATGACAAGCGTGTTGGATATGTGTTCTCCATCTATGGATGGCTTAGGGTCATCTCATACAAGACAGTGGGCACATTTCAATGAAATAATTGAATTTTAATTCACTTATTGAATTGAAAAGCTGAATTGACCCTAACCCTGTGTGTGTGTGTGTCTCTCTCTCTCTCTCTCTCAGTGAAAGGGCAGAGAGTCTGAACTGGAATGCTCCGTCTCAGGCCTTCCCCCACATCACCCAGCTGCTGAGACTGCCCCAATACCAGTACCACACACTACTGGGGTTGACCGTGTCTGTAGGAGGACTGACTGAGTCTACGGTACGTGTCTGTAGCGCTGTGTCTGTAGCGCTGTGTCTGTAGCGCTGTGTCTGTAGCGCTGTGTCTGTAGCGCTGTGTCTGTAGCTCTGTGTCTGTAGCTCTGTGTCTGTAGCTCTGTGTCTGTAGCTATGTGTCTGTAGCTATGTGTCTGTAGCTATGTGTCTGTAGCTATGTGTCTGTAGCTATGTGTCTGTAGCTATGTGTCTGTTGCGCTGTGTCTGTAGCTATGTGTCTGTAGCTATGTGTCTGTAGCTCTGTGTCTGTAGCACTGTGTCTGTAGCGCTGTGTCTGTAGCTATGTGTCTGTAGCTATGTGTCTGTAGCAGTGGAGGCTCGTCAGAGGAGGAAGGGGAGGACCAACCTCAGTGAATTTCATAAAAATAAAAATAGTGAAACATTAAAAAAGTTATCCTTTTTAGATAAACTATACTAAATCACCAAATAATTGATTAAAACACACTATTTTGCAAAGAAGGTCTACAGTAGCCTCAACAGCACTCTGTAGGGTAGCACCATGGTGTAGCCGGAGGACAGCTAGCTTCCGTCCTCCTCTGGGTACATTGACTTCAATACAAAACCTAGGAGGCTCATGGTCCTCACCCCCTTCCATATACTTACACAGTAATTATGACAACTTCCGGAGGACGTCCTCCAACCTATCAGAGCTATTGCAGCATGAAACTGACGTGTTGTTCACCCAATCAAAGGATCAGATAATTAATCTAGTACTGAAAGCATAAGCTACAGCTAGCTAGCATTACAGTGCATAAAATGTGGTGAGTAGTTGACTCAAAGAGAGAGAAAGACAATAGTTGAACAGTTTTGAACAAATTTATTTATTTAAAAATGTAGGAGAACCAAGAGTGAGAGAGAAAGAGCTATATTTTGTATTTTTTTCACTTTTACTTACTTAGCTAGCTAATGCAGCTAGCTAGTTTAGCCTACTCAAAACACCCGGCTCAAACAGAGAGGGATGCTATGTTAGCTAGCTGGCTATGGCTATCCAACACTGGAACTCTCCCATCAGGTAATTTTTGTTTTTTTAAATTTATTGCCACCGTGGCCCGCCTTTGTATCTTTGCAAACTGTATGCATGTTTGTGGGGGTTTTTAAAACGGGTTAGTTCTGTAGCTATGTTGACCATGATTTGAAACGATGTGTCTGGTGCGGTTAGCGTCTGTTTAAAGGTTTGGGTTTGGGAAAATTTTTTTTTCGCCTGGTCACAGACAGTGATTGTTTCATTTAAAGTCCACAAGTGAAGGGGAGGAGAAGGGAGGGAGGTGAGAGGGGGAGAAAAGGGGAGGGGAGGAGGAGAGGGGGGGGGAGGGGAGAGGGGAAGGGAGAGGGGGAAAAGGGGGGGAGGGAAGGGGGAGGTGGGGGGGGTTTTTTTTTTTTGGGGGGGGGTTTTTGGGGGGGGGTCGGGGGGGGTGGGGGGGGGGGGGGTGGGGGGGGGGGGGTGGGGGGGGGGGGGGGGGTTGGGGGCGGGGGGGGGGGGGGGGGGGGGTTGGGGGGGGGGGGTTGGGGGGGGGGGCCGCGGGGCCCGGGGCGGGGCCCCCGGTCCGGGGCCCCCGCCCCGGGGGGGGCCGGGGGGGGGGCGGGCGGGGGGGGGCCGGGTGCGGGGGGGGCGCCCGGGGGGGGGGTCGGTTGGGGGGGGGGGGAGGGGGCGGGGCGGGTTTGGGGGGGGGGGGGGGGGGGGGGCCCGGGGGGGCGGGGGGGGGGGGGGGGGGGGGGGCCCCCCCCCCGGGTGCTTTTGGGGTTGGTTTTTTTGGTTTTTGGGGTTTTGGGGCCCTAGTAGCTGGACTTTCCAGTCAGTAAGCTTGGTTATAATTTATTGCACGTGGTCGCGGTTATGTTCTGAAGTTGCTTGATTTGCGGTTTCTAAGAGTAGTTCTAGTACAGTGACCATGAGTGGAAAGATGAGTCTGTGGGGTTAGCGGCAGATGAAGGTTGGTTGGAAAGTTTGTGACAGAGGATGGTGTGCACTGAGTCCACAAGTGAAGGGGAGGAGGAGAGAGGTGAGGGAGGAGAGGAGGTGAGAGGAAGAGAGAGGTGAGAGGAGGAGAGAGTAAGGGGGAGGAGAGGAGGAGAGGTGAGGGGAGGAGGAGAGAGGTGAGAGAGGAGAGAGGGAGAGAGAGAGAGGAGAGGTAGGAGAGAGGTGAGAGAGGAGAGAGTGAGGTGAGAGGAGGGAGAAGGTGAGAGGAGGAGGAGCGTGAGAGAGGAGAGGTGAGTGAGGGGGAGGTGAGAGGGGAGAGGTGAGAGGTGGAGGAGGTGAGAGGGGTAGGGGTGAGAGGAGGTGAGAGGTTGAGAGGGTGGAGGAGGGAGGAGGTGAGAGGGGGGGTGAGAGGGTGAGATGAGGGAGAGGTGGTGAGGAGGAGAGGTGAGCGGTCGGGAGAGGGAGAGGTGGAGGGGTGAGAGGGGAGGAGCGAGACGGTGAGGGCGGAGAGAGGTGAGAGGAGGAGGAGGAGGAGCGAGGAGGGGGGGAGGTGGAGAGGAGGGGAGAGGTGAGAGGAGGAGAGTGAGTAGGTATATGTGAGAAGGAATTATATAAACAAGGAGCTGTTTCTATGTGGCTGCTATGAAAGATAACTGTATTTGCGTGTGATCAGGGGTGTGTTCATTGCGCCGATTCTGTTTTAAAATGTTTCGTAAACAGAGCGAAACGGGGATAAACATACCTGAATTTGTCCAATAGAAACTCTTGTTTCCAACTGTTGGACTAATGATTACACCCTAGATCAGCTAGATGCAGGCAAGAGTGTGCAAGGCGGTATTGAATGTGTCACTGTCTGCCACCTTGATTACTCAAAATTCTCTCGACCTGTGCACCTACATTGTAAACTTTCATTCATAGGCTAGGTTGTAGCAACCTCATGATGGGTACAGGGAAAATTGTAGTATCATGTAGTAGCCTAAACCTATCTGGGTGAATGGAACATGAATGACAGTCATCCAATATGCTGTAATAGAAATAAGGCCATGCTCATAAAAATAATAATAATAATCGTCCTCCCTCATCTTAAACGGCACTGACCGCAACTGGTCTGTAGCTATAATAATAATAAATAATAATATGCCATTTAGCAGACGCTTTTATCCAAAGCGACTTACAGTCATGCGTGCATACATTTTTGTGTATGGGTGGTCCCGGGGATCGAACCCACTACCTTTGCGTTACAAGCGCCGTGCTCTACCAGCTGAGCTACAGAGGACCACGTCTGTACTCTGTATCTCACTGTCTGCCCCAGTACCACTACCACACACTACTAGACCTCACTGTCTGCCCCAGTACCACTACCACACACTACTAGACCTCACTGTCTGCCCCAGTACCACTACCACACACTACTAGACCTCACTGTCTGCCCCAGTACCACTACCACACACTACTATACCTCACTGTCTGCCCCACTACCACTACCACAACACTACTAGACCTCACTGTCTGCCCCAGTACCACTACCAACACACTACTAGACCTCACTGTCTGCCCCAGTACCACTACCACACACTACTAGACCTCACTGTCTGCCCCAGTACCACTACCACACACTACTAGACCTCACTGTCTGCCCCACTACCACACACTACTAGACCTCACTGTCTGCCCCAGTACCACTACCACACACTACTAGACCTCACTGTCTGCCCCACTACCACACACTACTATACCTCACTGTCTGCCCCACTACCACTACCACACACTACTAGACCTCACTGTCTGCCCCAGTACCACTACCACACACTACTAGACCTCACTGTCTGCCCCAGTACCACTACCACACACTACTAGACCTCACTGTCTGCCCCAGTACCACTACCACACACTACTAGACCTCACTGTCTGCCCCACTACCACACACTACTAGACCTCACTGTCTGCCCCAGTACCACTACCACACACTACTAGACCTCACTGTCCAAAGACTGCATGTTTGTGAGTCAAATGAAAGTCATGTTGTCCCTGGAAAAGAACCTTTTGTGAAACGGTGGTTTGACAACTCCTCTCTCCAGTGTGTGTCTGTAGGCCAACAGAGGGGGCTAGAGCTCATCAGACCCCTGAGGATCCAGTACCTCTCCTCTGATCTGTTTCTCAGGCACCAGGCATCAGCTTGACGCTCCTCTGGCCCACATCCACCTGGTTCCTGTAAACAAGAACCTAAAACCCAAAACAAAGATGGGAGCTCATCCAGAACAAATGGAACTGTTTTTAGTGTTATTGGCAGGGCTGGTGTAGTCTTTCTTTTCTTTAAGGAAACGTCCTTTCCCATCTTAAGCCATTCGTCTCTGCGTTGTGTGATGAATGAAGGTGGAAAGTGTGTGTGTGTGTGTGTGTGTGTGTGTGTGTGTGTGTAATGAATGAATGAATGAAATAAAGGTTTTTTATAAAGCGTGTCTGATGCTTTGCTCTACTGATACTCCACCACTCCTGGCCCGTTCCCATCACTCTGCACGGTCATGGCCCGTTCCCATCACTCTGCACGGTCCTGGCCCGTTCCCAACACTCTGCACGGTCCTGGCCCGTTCCCATCACTCTGCACGACAGTCCTGGCCCGTTCCCATCACTCTGCATGGTCCTGGCCCAGATAGGGGCTCTCAAACTGGGGGTCCAACCTCCAACGGCTCCCAGACCCAGTACCCTGGTTCCTCTCCCCTCTCAGCCCCAGTACCCTGGTTCCTCTCCCCTCTCAGCCCCAGTACCCTGGTTCCTCTCCCCTCCCAGACCCAGTACCCTGGTTCCTCTCCCCTCCCAGACCCAGTACCCTGGTTCCTCTCCCCTCTCAGACCCAGTACCCTGGTTCCTCTCCCCTCTCAGACCCAGTACCCTGGTTCCTCTCCCCTCTCAGACCCAGTACCTGGTCCTCTCCCCTCCCAGACCCAGTACCCTGGTTCCTCTCCCCTCCCAGACCCAGTACCCTGGTTCCTCTCCCCTCTCAGCCCCAGTACCCTGGTTCCTCTCCCCTCTCAGACCCAGTACCCTGGTTCCTCTCCCCTCTCAGACCCAGTACCCTGGTTCCTCTCCCCTCTCAGACCCAGTACCCTGGTTCCTCTCCCCTCTCAGCCCCAGGCTGCATCCCAAATGGCACCCTATTCCTTACATAGTGTACTATTGTTGTCCAGGGCCCATAGAGGGTGGAAAGTAGTGCTTTATAAAGTGAACAGGATACCATTTGGGACATCCCTGGTCTCTCTCCCCCCCAGCCACAGTCAGCTAGTGAAAGCCAACCCCGCTGGTGTGACTAATGCCCGTGGGGATACACGCTCAACACTGACGATGATTTGTGGTGGTTAGGTTTATTTTTAACCCAGCTCAGTTTGTGGAGGTAATGTAGAACAATGAGGTGATGGTTTTAATAGGTGTAGTGAGGGTGGTAAAGCTACAGTCATCTGCCAACAATGCCTGTAAACCTATTCCCTGGGAGGTGATCTGGCCTGGCCCCCCCCTCTCTCTCTCTCTCTCTCTCTCTCTCTCTCTCTCTCTCTCTCTCTCTCTCTCTCTCTCTCTCTCTCTCTCTCTCTCTCTCTCTCTCTGTCTCTCTGTCTCTCTGTCTCTGTCTCTGTCTCTATCTCTATCTCTCTGGACCTGTGGCTTGGTAGACTCTTGCTATAATCTGGATGGACTGGTCTGGAGACACACACACACTTCTGAGGTAGCCAGAACTGTGATCGTAGGCTGAGGTAGCCAGAACTGTGATCCTAGGTTGAGGTAGCCAGAACTGTGATCCTAGGCTGAGGTAGCCAGAACTGTGATCCTAGGCTGAGGTAGCCAGAACTGTGATCCTAGGTTGAGGTAGCCAGAACTGTGATCCTAGGCTGAGGTAGCCAGAACTGTGATCCTAGGCTGATTTGGAATTGGTTCTCACACACAGAGTCCAAAGTGATGAAGCATCCTGTTGGATCCCTGGAAACTCTTTCTCACCCTCCTAGTCTTGTTTACTGCCGTTTCACATTTTGTGTTGCTGTATTATACATAAACGATCTCTAGTGAGACTACCCTTCCTCTCTTCCTCCCTCCCCCTCTCCCACTGCTTAGTCCAACTCCCTTCTTCTCTCATACCCCCTGAAAGACCATGTCATCACCACAGACCTTGTTGTAACTGCCGATATAGAAAAGAAAGACAGAATTCCTCTCTTCTTCTGCTGTCTCCAGCGGGTCTTGATGCTGTGTTGTAGCTGTGTGAACGATGAGCAGCTTTCATAGCCTTCACTGTCACTCAGTTTCATGACGTCATCACTATGTGAGGGGAAGTGATACCACGAAATCAGAGCATGTGTCCCTATTCCCTCTGGACTCTGGCCAAAAGTAGTGCGCTACAGTGCCATTTGGGACACAGAGCGATGAGCTGTTTAGACTTAATGTTGCTCAATGTGGCTTCTCACACTGTCAATCTAGACTTACGCAATTTTAAACGGAGCGGTAATATAATATTTTATTGTTTTATTGTTATGTGGTTCTCTCTCTCCCCCTGTCTCCCTCCCTCAATCTCTTTCCCTCTCTACATCTCCCCCCTCTCTCTCTCCCCCTGTCTCTCTCTCTCTCATTTTCCCTCCCTCCCTCTCTACATCCCTCTCCCCTCTCCCTCTCTCCTTATCTCTCCGTCTCCAGGTTCGTTTCTCGTCCCAGTCTCTGTTTGATCACCTGATGTTGATTCAGCAGGATACAGCCGCTCTGGGACAGTTTAGTGACACACTGCTACGCGTCTTCAGAGACAACCTGAGAAATGACAGGTAGGCGCACACACACACACACACACACACACACCCTTTGTACACATGCACACACTCTTCGATCTATTTATTTCTTACAGTCCACTTATGCAATACGTAGGAGATTTAAATTGATAGTTTTTAAAAAACGATGTATTATTTGTACACATTATTCTATTTTGGGCCCGGTCTCCCTAGTGTCAATCTCAATGAAACTAACCTGGTAAAATAAAGATAAGCTAAAGGTAATGTGTGTCTGTGTAGGGTGTCGGTCCCCTTCCTGAAGATGCTGGACCAGATGCTGGCTCGAGCCTGCTTTGACACCTTCACTACTGACCAGGAGTGAGTCTAGTAGTGTTCATGTTATACAATGTTGCTTTATTGATGCCTGTTAGGTAGGACTCAATACTACTTTATTATCTCACAGAAACAGCAGAAACAGGATATATATAGAAGATGTATAGTGTTGTATATCTAGAATAAATGAAGAAATTTCATATAGTGTCTGATTGAATGAATAGAAGCTAAGCTAATCTGTTATTTCCTCTGTCTGTCTCTCTCTCCCTTTCTCTGTCTCTCTCTCGCTCTCTCTCTCCTCTCTCTTTCTCTGTCTCTCTTTCTCTCTCTACTGTCTCTCTCTCTTTCTCTCTCTCTGTAGTCATCAGTTCTGTGTGGACCTGTTGGCTCTCTGTAAGGAAGAGATTAAAAAGTCCAAGGACACTCAGAAGCTACGCTCCGCTATCGCTGTGTGAGTGGGGTATATTTTAACACACACAGGAACGTCAGTGACTCACTCACTCACTCACTCACTCACTCACTCACTCACTCACACACACACACACACACACACCACACACACACACACACACACACACACACACACACACACACACACAGAATAATAATTATTTAATTACCCCAGTGAATTATTGTAATGTTTGTTTATGTGTCAATTAATCCCATAAGGGATGGGTTGCCAACTGGCGATTTGACACCAAAATAAAATGTTCATTCATACATTCACACACACGACATTCAGAAGCTCTGCTCCTGTATCACTGTGTGAGGATCCTCTAACATTACTGTAGCAATCACTCATACTCCAAATGCATCTGGACTGCATCTCACTTGTAATACAGTGTTAACGCATTCACTCATAACAGACAAACTGATATACACACTCTACCCCTTGATCTCCCACCCTAACCCTCTCTCTCCCCTCCTGTAGGTTATGTGGTCTGATCCACTTCCAGGGAGAGGTCCGTAAGAAGGTTCTGTTCCAGCTGCTGCTTCTTCTCTGTCACCCCTTCCCTGGGGATGTTAGCTGCTTCTCTCTCTCCTCTCTCTCCTATCTTTCGTTTCTCTCTCTCCTCTCTCTCCTCTCCATCTCCTCCTCTCTCTCCTCTCTCTATCTCTATCATCTCTTCTCTCTCTTCTCTCTCTCTCTCTCTCTCTCTCTCTTTCTTTCTCTCTATCTCTCTTCTCTCCCCTCTCTCTCTCCTCTCTCTCTCTCTCTCTCTCCTTCTTCTCTCTCTCTCTCCTCTCCTCTCACAGCCAACCAGGTGTAACATGCTCTCTCTCTCTACAGATCAGGAAGACCACAGCCAGCCAAGTGTACGAGATGCTGCTGACCTACGATGATGTCATCGACCCTGACGTGATGGATGACGTCATGACCTCGCTGAGTGACACCAACTGGTCAGTGGAATCAAGACAGGAACTGGCGTAGACCATTACTGCGTTCCGATTCTCCACCCTTCTCCCGGTGTTTCATTTGCACACTCCCAGTCATGAAGTTAACAGTGCAGGGTTTTAAAGGCAGACCTTGTAACAGTTATTTGTGTGCAGGGTTTTAAGGACAGACCTTGATACAGGTCTTTGGGTGCAGGGTTTTAAGGGCAGACCTTGATACAGGTCTTTGGGTGCAGGGTTTTAAGGGCAGACCTTGTAACAGGTCTTTGGGTGCAGGGTTTTAAGGGCAGACCTTGTAACAGGTATTTGGGTGCAGGGTTTTAAGGACAGACCTTGTAACAGGTCTTTGGGTGCAGGGTTTTAAAGGCAGACCTTGATACAGGTCTTTGGGTGCAGGGTTTTAAAGGCAGACCTTGTAACAGGTCTTTGGGTGCAGGGTTTTAAGGGCAGACCTTGTAACAGGTATTTGGGTGCAGGGTTTTAAGGACAGACCTTGTAACAGGTATTTGGGTGCAGGGTTTTAAGGGCAGACCTCTGTTACAGGTCTTTGGGTGCAGGGTTGTAAGGGCAGACCTCTGTAACAGGTCTTTGGGTGCAGGGTTTTAAGGGCAGACCTTGTAACAGGTCTTTGGGTGCGGGGTTTTAAGGACATGAACTAGTAAAGGAAAACCCCTTACTTACTGGAAATGGTTTTAACAAGAAATGAGCGATGGACTATTTTGTCTCCTGCTGCTAATTTATTAAACTGCTAAAGACAATTTCTAGAGAATGAGGCTTTTCCCTTTTCTACTACAGTGAGTGAAAAAAGTATTGAACAGTGAGAGACAGGATAACAACAAAAAAATCCAGAAAAATGCATGTCAAAAATGTTATAAATTGATTTGCATTTTAATGAGGGAAATAAGTATTTGACCCCTCTGCAAAACATGACTTAGTACTTGGTGGCAAAACCCTTGTTGGCAATCACAGAGGTCAGACATTTCTTGTAGTTGGCCACCAGGTTTGCACACGTCTCAGGAGGGATTTTGTCCCACTCCTCTTTGCAGATCTTCTCCAAGTCATTAAGGTTTCGAGGCTGACGTTTGGCAACTCGAACCTTCAGCTCCCTCCACAGATTTTCTATGGGATTAAGGTCTGGAGACTGGCTAGGCCACTCCAGGACCTTAATGTGCTTCTTCTTGAGCCACTCCTTTGTTGCCTTGGCCGTGTGTTTTGGGTCATTGTCATGCTGGAATACCCATCCACGACCCATTTTCAATGCCTTGGCTGAGGGAAGGAGGTTCTTACCCAAGGTTTGACGGTACATGGCCCCGTCCATCGTCCCTTTGATGCAGTGAAGTTGTCCTGTCCCCTTAGCAGAAAAACACCCCCAAAGCATAATGTTTCCACCTCCATGTTTGACGGTGGGTATGGTGTTCTTGGGGTCATAGGCAGCATTCCTCCTCCTCCAAACACAGCGAGTTGAGTTGATGGCAAAGAGCTCGATTTTGGTCTCATCTGACCACAACACTTTCACCCAGTTCTCCTCTGAATCATTCAGATGTTCATTGGCACACTTCAGACGGGCCTGTATATGTGCTTTCTTGAGCAGGGGGACCTTGCGGGCGCTGCAGGATTTCAGTCCTTCACGGCGTAGTGTGTTACCAATTGTTTTCTTGGTGAGTATGGACCCAGCTGCCTTGAGATCATTGACAAGATCCTCCCGTGTAGTTCTGGGCTGATTCCTCACCGTTCTCATGATCATTGCAACTCCACGAGGTGAGATCTTGCATGGAGCCCCAGGCCGAGGGAGATTGACAGTTCTTTTGTGTTTCTTCCATTTGCGAATAATCGCACCAACTGTTGTCACCTTCTCACCAAGCTGCTTGGCGATGGTCTTGTAGCCCATTCCTGCCTTGTGTAGGTCTACAATCTTGTACCTGACATCCTTTGAGAGCTCTTTGGTCTTGGCCATGGTGGAGAGTTTGGAATCTGATTGATTGATTGCTTCTGTGGACAGGTGTCTTTTATACAGGTAACAAACTGAGATTAGGAGCACTCCCTTTAAGAGTGTGCTCCTAATCTCAGCTCGTTAACTGTATAAAAGACACCTGGGAGCCAGAAATCTTTCTGATTGAGAGGGGGTCAAATACTTATTTCCCTCATTAAAATGCAAATCAATTTATAACATTTTTGACATGCATTTTTCTGGATTTTTTTGTTGTTATTCTGTCTCTCACTGTTCAAATAAACCTACCATTAAAATTATAGACTGATCATGTCTTTGTCAGTGGGCAAACGTACAAAATCAGCAGGGGATCAAATACTTTTTTCCCTCACTGTAACTGGTCATTTGTCACACTGTGTTTTCTATAGTAGTCATTGCACTGTAGGGTTAGTCCTACTGTAGGGTCAGTCTTCCTGTAGGGTCAGTCTTCCTGTAGGGTCAGTCTTCCTGTAGGGTCAGTCTTCCTGTAGGGTTAGTCTTCCTGTAGGTTCAGTCTTCCTGTAGGGTTAGTCCTACTGTAGGGTTAGTCTTCCTGTAGGGTCAGTCTTCCTGTAGGGTTAGTCTTCCTGTAGGGTTAGTCTTCCTGTAGGGTTAGTCTTCCTGTAGGGTCAGTCTTCCTGTAGGGTCAGTCTTCCTGTAGGGTTAGTCTTACTGTAGGGTTAGTCTTCCTGTAGGGTCAGTCTTCCTGTAGGGTCAGTCTTCCTGTAGGGTCAGTCTTCCTGTAGGGTTAGTCTTCCTGTAGGGTCAGTCTTCCTGTAGGGTCAGTCTTCCTGTAGGGTCAGTCTTCCTGTAGGGTCAGTCTTACTGTAGGGCAGGGTTCTTCAATTCCGGTCCTGGAGGGCCGAAACACTTCTGTTTTTTATTTCTACCTGGTAGTTAATTGCACTCACCTGGTGTCCCAGGTCTGAATTAGCCCCTGATTAGAAGGAGAGGATGAAAAACAGAGGTGTTTCGGCCCGCCAGGACCGGAATTGAAGAACCCTGCTGTAGGGTTAGTCTTCCTGTAGGGTTAGTCTTCCTGTAGGGTTAGTCTTCCTGTAGGGTTAGTCTTACTGAAGGTTAGTCTTACTGTAGGGTTAGTCTTCCTGTAGGGTTAGTCTTCCTGTAGGGTTAGTCTTCCTGTAGGGTTAGTCTTACTGTAGGGTTAGTCTTACTGTAGGGTTAGTCTTCCTGTAGGGTTAGTCTTACTGAAGGTTAGTCTTCCTGTAGGGTTAGTCTTACTGTAGGGTTAGTCTTCCTGTAGGGTTAGTCTTCCTGTAGGGTTAGTCTTCCTCTAGGGTTAGTCTTCCTGAAGGTTAGTTTTCCTGTAGGGTTAGTCTTCCTGTAGGGTTAGTCTTCCTGTAGGGTTAGTCTTCCTGTAGGGTTAGTCTTCCTGAAGGTTAGTCTTCCTGTAGGGTTAGTCTTACTGAAGGTTAGTCTTCCTGTAGGGTTAGTCTTCCTGTAGGGTTAGTCTTCCTGTAGGGTTAGTCTTCCTGTAGGGTTAGTCTTCCTGTAGGGTTAGTCCAACTGTAGGGTTAGTCTTCCTGTAGGGTTAGTCCAACTGTAGGGTTAGTCTTCCTGTAGGGTTAGTCTTCCTGTAGGGTTAGTCCAACTGTAGGGTTAGTCTTCCTGTAGGGTTAGTCTTACTGAAGGTTAGTCTTCCTGTAGGGTTAGTCCAACTGTAGGGTTAGTCTTCCTGTAGGGTTAGTCTTACTGAAGGGTTAGTCTTCCTGTAGGGTTAGTCTTCCTGTAGGGTTAGTCTTCCTGTAGGGTTAGACCAACTGTAGGGTTAGTTTTACTGTAGTGTTAGTCTGGCGTCTTCACATTATGTTGTCCTCTCTGTGTCCTCTGGTTTTAGGGAGGAGAACATTGCCACGGTGAGGACCCACAGAAACCAGCTCTGTGATTGGCTAGGAGTACAGAAGCCCCTGCTCATTTCCAAGGTAACCGTTTGAAAACTGCTAATCAACAGTATTGGTGTGTTTTGCATGGGTGGCTGGATGAATGAATAAATGATTGAATATTTGATTAGTCTAATGCCATAAGTCAGGTGCTGTTGCAGGGTAGTAGCCCATTCATATCAGTGTTGTAATCTGAAGAGCTTTGTCTGTTTGTTAGTAAGGTTGACTTTTCCTTATTAGACCCAGATGCCTGCCTTTCCTCTGCCTGCCAAACCTTGATTCACTTTACTGTGTAATTAGTCTGGAAACGAGGTCTGCTCCGATAAGAGAAAACCTTTCAAAGATATGACCTTCAACTATTTATCAGAGTAATGACTTGATTTAGTTTTCTGTCTATGAAAAGAAAAAACAAATGTTATCCACTTTTAGCTCCTTGACACATCTGATTAACTTCAATATTGTATTTTATTCTCGCTTTTCTTTTTTGTACTCTTCCTGTTTTCTTCCGTAGGGTCCTGTTCAGTAGGCTTGGGGGAAACTATTCTCAGCAGGAACTAAAGAACTGGAGCACAGGATCCTTCAGGATGGCATTCTGTGTGACACATCACTAAGTACAGCTGCACTTCTAAAAGGTCACAGTCTTCAGTGATGTTTCAAGACCCACACACTTTGCTACAGTACATTCTAACTGGTATGCTGGTATGGTCATTAAAATGGAAAGTAGTCTGGGTCGATTTGGGATTCAGCATTCCTCTCTGTCTGTCTCTCTGTCTGTCTGTCTGTCTGTCTGTCTGGTTGTGGAACGTCTTTGAATGAGAATGTGGACTGAAAAAGTTATAAACGAACAAAAACGAAACAAGTCACTATCTGTCAATAAACAAAACAAACACCATCATGATTTTCCCGTTTCCAATTTATTTACTCTTTTTTTAGGGAGGAGAAGATTGAGAAACCCTGTCATGACAAACTCAATAGTCACCAATGTTTAGGAAAAACGCCCTGCACACTTTTCATAATGAGTTCAGTGCTTCTAAAACAGTTTTCTCCTAGTAAGGGGAGGAAGGCAGGTGGTGGGTGATCCCGAATATAGGACCAGGAATGAAGGAGAGGAGAGGTGTTGAGTGACCCCGAATATAGGATCAGGAATGAAGGAGAGAGAAGAGGGAGACCTGGAATATGGGACGAGGAATGAAGGAGAGAGAGGGAGGGAGACCTGGAATATAGGACGAGGAATGAAGGAGAGAGAGGAGATCCCAATAAAAACAGACAGTCTTTCAGCAGCGTTACATTTCTGAGATAGCCGGGTGAGAGGGAATTTGCCCGTCAGCACATTTGATAGTGAGAATCTCTTCTCCCCCCTCCCGTCTGTCCCACCCTGTGGCCTCTTCTCTCTCTGACATGCTACACATTCCATAGTAGAGCAGTGATAATACCCCTTAAATACCCATTAAATCTAGACCTTATGTCATCAAATTTGAGCATGGCGAGCTGTAGACGTGTAAGAGTTTTCCCTATGTGCTTATAGTAATGTGCCCCACTAGCAAACGCAACAGCAGCTACTTGTTTTGACGGGCTGGTAGTTGTTGTGACAGGCTGGTAGTTGTTGTGACAGGCTGGTAGTTGTTGTGACAGGCTGGTAGTTGTTGTGACAGGCTGGTAGTTGTTTTGACGGGCTGGTAGTTGTTATGACAGGCTGGTAGTTGTTATGACAGGCTGGTAGTTGTTTTGACGGGCTGGTAGTTGTTTTGACAGGCTGGTAGTTGTTTTGACAGGCTGGTAGTTGTTTTGACGGGCTGGTAGTTGTTTTGACAGGCTGGTAGTTGTTTTGACAGGCTGGTAGTTGTTTTGACAGGCTGGTAGTTGTTTTGACAGGCTGGTAGTTGTTTTGACAGGCTGGTAGTTGTTGTGACAGGCTGGTAGTTGTTGTGACAGGCTGGTAGGTGTTTTGAAGGATGGTAGTTGTTATGACGGGCTGGTAGTTGTTGTGACAGGCTGGTAGTTGTTGTGACAGGCTGGTAGTTGTTTTGACAGGCTGGTAGTTGTTGTGACAGGCTGGTAGTTGTTGTGACGGGCTGGTGGTAGTTGTGACAGGCTGGTAGTTGTTGTGACAGGCTGGTAGTTGTTGTGACAGGCTGGTAGTTGTTGTGACAGGCTGGTAGTTGTAGTGACAGGCTGGTAGTTGTTGTGACAGGCTGGTAGTTGTTGTGACGGGCTGGTAGTTTGTTGTGGACAAGGCGGTAGTTGTTGTGACGGGCTGGTAGTTGTTGTGACAGGCTGGTAGTTGTTTGTGACAGGCTGGTAGTTTGTTGTGACAGGCTGGTAGTTGTTGTGACAGGCTGGTAGTGTTGTGACAGGCTGGTAGTTGTTGTGACAGGCTGGTAGTTGTTGTGACAGACTGGTAGTTGTTGTGACAGACTGGTAGTTGTTGTGACGGGCTGGTAGTTGTTGTGACGGGCTGGTAGTTGTTGTGACAGGCTGGTAGTTGTTGTGACAGACTGGTAGTTGTTATGACGGGCTGGTAGTTGTTGTGACAGGCTGGTAGTTGTTGTGACAGGCTGGTAGTTGGTTTGACAGGCTGGTAGTTGTTGTGACGGGCTGGTAGTTGTTGTGACAGGCTGGTAGTTGTTGTGACAGGCTGGTAGTTGTTGTGACAGGCTGGTAGTTGTTGTGACAGGCTGGTAGTTGTTGTGACAGGCTGGTAGTTGTTGTGACAGGCTGGTAGTTGTTTTGACAGGCTGGTAGTTGTTTTGACAGGCTGGTAGTTGTTGTGACAGGCTGGTAGGTGTTGTGACAGGCTGGTAGTTGTAGTGACAGGCTGGTAGTTGTTGTGACAGGCTGGTAGTTGTTGTGACAGGCTGGTAGTTGTGGGACAGGCTGGTAGTTGTTGTGACAGGCTGGTAGTTGTTGTGACAGACTGGTAGTTTGTTGTGACGGTCTGGTAGTTTGTTGTGACGGGCTGGTAGTTGTTGTGACAGGCTGGTAGTTGTTGTGACAGGCTGGTAGTTGTTGTGACAGGCTGGTAGTTGTTGTGACAGGCTGGTAGTTGTTGTGACAGACTGGTAGTTGTTGTGACAGGCTGGTAGTTGTTGTGACGGGCTGGTAGTTGTTATGACAGGCTGGTAGTTGTTGTGACAGACTGGTAGTTGTTGTGACAGGCTGGTAGTTGTTGTGACAGGCTGGTAGTTGTTGTGACAGGCTGGTAGTTGTTGTGACGGGCTGGTAGTTGTTATGACGGGCTGGTAGTTGTTGTGACAGGCTGGTAGTTGTTGCTTCTTTCAAGGTTATCTATCCATGCAAGTTCCATCAACAAATCAGGCTCTGTTTAGTGTTTGAAAGTAATTTAGAAGAGGGAGGAAGGGCCTTTCATTCATTCAGTCCATAGCTTGTATCGCCTGTGGTTTTGTCGTTTAGTATTTAGCTACTTGTTGTGACAGGCTGGTAGTTGTTGTGTCTTTGAATGCTATCTGTCCTTGTACATTATAATACAATAAACAGAATGTTCAGGGTTGGAAAATTGTGATTGTTTTATCTTATTTTCATTCATTTCATTACTTGTATTTGCGTTTTAGGGAAAAAAGTTATATTAAAAATTATAGTGTGTGCCATGATTTGTCGAGTTACAACAAAAAAACACTCTCTGTCCTTTTCAGCCATATACACATCTCCCAGTAGAGCATTTACTTGAAGCCTCATCTATTTGAGTTGTCCAGCCTGCTTCCATTCCTCTTCATGACATGTAATCATTAACCATTTAACCAGTGGGTTGTTTACCCTCAGATAGCCACTAAAGCAGTAGTCATTTGTCTTTGATTGTCAGTTTGGGTTCCATGCCTGTTTGCCCTGGTTAATTACATCCTCTCTGCTTGGCCTGTAGAGGTCAGGGGTTAGAGGGGATGACCTGTGACCTTCCTCTGGCCCCTCTGAGTAGTGTCAAGCGGGGGCTATGCCTGGTAGAAAGTCAACGTCCTTAAGCCTTCAGTATAACAATATATCCAGTGGTAAGGACCCTGGTCAGCTGTGGGTACAGCCCAGCTAGAAGTCATATCTGTTATACATATATCAAGTTGTCCACCCCTTCACTGTGTGTGTGTGTGTGTGTGTGTGTATTTGTGTGGGTCTTTGTGTTTGTGCATGTGTACATGGGTGTGTGTGTGTGTGTGTGTGTGTGTGTGTGTGTGTGTGTGTGTGTGTGTGTGTGTGTTCCTGTGCAGCTCTACTTTCCCTGGGCTCAGCCTTTCTCTCACCAGCTGACTGTTCAGCTGTTCACTAGCACTTGTCCTCTGACTAACTGTTGTCACAACACACACACACACCACATACTACTGTTCCACAACACACACACCACACACACACTACTGTTCCACAACACACACACACACACACACACTACTGTTCCACAACACACACACACACACACACACTACTGTTCCACAACACACACACACACACACACACACTACTGTTCCACAACACACACACACTACTGTTCCACCACACACACACACACACACACACACACACACACTACTGTTCCACAACACACACACACACACACACACTACTGTTCCACAACACACACATACACACACGCTGCTGCCTAAACCCTAATGGTTATACATGGATAGCAATTACATTTACTTTTCATACTTAAGTATATTTAAAACCAAATATTTTTAGACTTTTACTCAAGTTGTATTTTACTGGGTGACTTTCACTTTTAGTTGAGTCATTTTCTATTAAGGTATCTTTACTTTTACTCAAGTATGACAATTGGGTACTTTTTCCACCACTAACCACACACTATGTAAGCCCTAATAATTATACATGAACATACTCAGACCATTATAAGACATGCTATTTGACAGTCTGATATCTTTCATCTCAGTTAGGAATTCAAATTAGGCTCGGACAAGTGTGTCTGTGTGAGTGGACTGTGAGAGGGTGTCTGTGTGAGTGGACTGTGAGAGGGTGTCTGTGTGAGTGGACTGTGAGAGGGTGTCTGTGAGTGGACTGTGAGAGGGTGTCTGTGTGAGTGGACTGTGAGAGGGTGTCTG